GCTGCGCATTGTATCTACGCTGTGGCGTAACGTCTGACGTCATTTACTCGCGCCAGCAACGGGAAACAAACGTGGAGAAGAAGCATCACATTAGCGGATTGTTTTGATCGTCAAAATTTGGTATTAATCATATTTATAGCGCAGTATGGATGACGAGGAAGAGACATACAGACTATGGAAAATTAGAAAAACTATAATGCAGGTAAAGAAAGACATATATGCTTTATTTATAACGTTTCGCACAGTTTAGTGATGCTTGTTCCGGTTTACTATTGAATGGATTTCATGTCTTTTATAAAACCATACACATTTAAATAACAGAAATAACATGATGTAATAACAATGTTGATATTTAACCAACAGCTTTGTCACGATCGCGGATATTTGGTGACGCAGGATGAATTGGACCAGACTCTTGATGAATTCAGGAGTCAGTTTGGAGATAAACCGAGCGAGGGTCGACCACGACGAAATGACCTGACAGTCCTGGTGGCCCACAATGACGACCCGACCGACCAGATGTTTGTGTTCTTCCCGGGTATGTTTTATTCCGCAGCAGCCCTATTTATTTAACTAGTCCGAGATAACAAGGAGTGGTTATTAGGTGAAGTTGGTTTTATATTCGGACAATCTCCTTAATAATATAATTTCAGAAAAGTATTCTATGCTAATTCTAAACAGGGAAATCATATTAGCAGCCAGCTACTATCAAATACATCACTGTTAATTAAATAGTCAAATAGGGCTAATGTTGTTTTAAAGTCATACTTCCATGCGATTGCAGACTGAATATTCAAAGCATCATGGTAAAAATGGACAAACGTGAAACCAGCTTTACCTCAGTGGAGTGGTTGATCAATTTTGTATTTACGTTAAAGAGTTTAAATATATTGAAACTTCAATTTTGCTTTCAGAGGAACCAAAGGTTGGCATCAAAACCATAAAGATGTATTGCCAGCGCATGCAGGAGGAAAACATCACCCGCGCCATCATTGTAGTACAGATGGGCATGACACCCTCCGCCAAACAGGTGCAACTCGCACATTTACTAATGTTTACAGTTCTAATGTCGAGCACTTTACAAGATAAATACGTTTTTTTATCTCTCTCTGTCACATTTCAGTCTCTGGTCGACATGGCACCAAAGTACATACTGGAGCAGTTTCTTCAGCAGGAGCTTCTAATCAACATTACAGAACACGAGGTGAGGAGACTTAAAGTTATAGCTCACCCAAAAAGTGAAAATTCTGTCATCATGTACTCACCCTTGTTCCAAAACTGTTTGAGTTTATTTCTTCTGTTGACAACAATGTTGGAAAGCAGCAGCCATTGACCTGCTGTAGTATTTTTGTTCCCGTTAAGGAAGTCAATGGCTGCACGGTTTTTAATTCACTGGTGGAAAAAAGCACCTTAATGTTGTATCACTTACTGTTAGTCCAAAATCACATTCGGAGAACTATTATATTTTTAGCTGATGAACAATAAAAAAATCCACAGCCAATCAGAATCTCCTAACTTAAAAAGCCAGTTTACACAGAAATAACTCTTCTGACATCATTTAATCTCCGTCCACTAGTTTCTAGCGTTGAAGTTTCTTTCTTCTTTTGAACACAATGGGCTATATGCACACAGACTTTTAATATGGTTTCCGGTGCCTTATATATATATATATATATATATATATATATATATATATATATATATATATATATATATATATATATATATATATATATATATATATACACACACACACACATACATGATATAAAGTGCTATAAAGCGGTGTGTTAAATTATTTTACCTCAGTATTTTGAATGGAGTTTCTGCGCTAGCCTGCTGCCATTGACAGCGCTAGCAGTTACACAGTCTATTATCTCATTTTATGCTTGAACTACTAAATGAATGCTTAAGTTTATTTAAGGGATTGTATTTCAATTACATTACGATGTTGTAAAAGCAACCTTATAAATAGTCACAAAAACCTTTTACTGTTGGTTTAAAAACACTAGCTGTTCATATTGCCCATTGAAGAATGATCCATTGAATTCCACTGTATAATTTGGTTCTTTGTGAAGAAAATCTTGTTTCTCTTGATCAGAGATGCCCAAACTCAGTCTTAGATGGTTTAGATCCAACTTGCTTCTGCACTCATGCCTGGAAGTTTCTAGTAGAGCTAGTAAGAGCTCGATTAGCTGGTTCAGGGGTTGGAGCCAAACTCTGCAGTGCCGAGTTTGGGCACCTTTTTTTTTCTTGATAATTAATATATTCATCATTTTTGTTTTGAGCACTTTTTTAAGATGCTTAACACTTTTATCTAATTATCCTTTGCAATAACTATGGTTTCATGTATTTCAGCTTGTTCCAGAGCACATAGTTATGACAAAAGAAGAAGTGACTGAGTTGCTGGCGCGGTAGTATCCTTTCATGAAAGATGCTTAAGTTTACAGCAGTGTTATTTTCATATTTCTATGGTTTAGCTCAACTTTGTGTATTATATATGTTTAACTCCAGTTGGATAGTTCACAGTACATGTAGGTCACCTTAACCAGCGCTTCTCCAGTAAGCTAAAGGAAAGCCAACTTCCCAGAATTCAAGCTGGGGATCCCGTTGCACGTTACTTTGGCTTAAAAAGAGGCCAGGTAGGAAATCAGCCCAATTTTTAGCTCATTTTGATTGACCGCAATCAGCTGATAGTTTGTGAATTTGTGTGTGTTTTTCAGGTTGTTAAGATCATCAGACCGAGTGAAACGGCTGGCCGATACATCACATACAGATTGGTCCAGTAATGTTGGTGAGCTCTTGTCTTTTATTAACCTTTAAATAAAGCGCTTCACTTTTTCCACATCTTTCTATGTTACAGCCTTATTCCAAAATGGGTTAAATTCATTTTTTCCATCCTCTACACACAGCACCCCACAATGACAGTGTGAAAAAAGATTTTATTGAAAATAAAAAGTACACAAGTATTCACAGCCTTTGCTGTAAAGCTCTAAATTGAGCTCTGGTACATTGTTTCCACTGATCATTCTTAAGATGTTTCAGCAGCTTAATTGGAGTTCACCTGTTGTAAATGCAGTTGATTGGACATGATTTGAAAAGGCACACACCTGTCTATATAAGGTCCCAGCATTGACAATGCATGTCAAAGCAGAAACCAAGCATGAAAACAAAGGACTTGTCTGTAGATCTCTGAGACGGAATTGTCTTGGGGCACAAGGCTGGGGAGGGTTACAGAATTTCTGTTGCTCTAAAAGTTAAGATGAGCACAGTAGCCTCCATCCATAAGTGAAAGATTTTTGGAACCACCAGGACTCTTTCTAGAGCTGGCCGGCCATCTAAGCGGAGTGATCGGGGGAGAAGGGCCTTAGTCAGAGAGGTGATCAATAACCCGATATTCACTCTGTCTGAGCTCCAGCCTTCTGTGGAGAGGGGAGAACCTTGTAAAAGGGCAACCATCTGTGCAGTAATCCACCAATCAGGCCTGTATGGTAGAGTGGCCAGAGGGAAGCCACTCCCCGACTAGAATTTGCCAAAAGGCATCTGAAGGACTCTCAGACCATAAGAAACTAAATTCTCTGGTCTGATGAGACTAAAATGTAACTCTTTGGAGTGAATGCCAGATGTTGTGTTTGGAGAGAACCAGGCACTGCTCATCACCAGACTAATACCATCCCTATAGTGCAGCATGGTGGTGGCAGCATCATGCTGTGGGGATGTTTTTTCTGCAGCAGGAACTGCAAGACTAGTCAGGATAGAGGGAAAGATGAATGCAGCAATGTACAGGGACATCCTGAATGAAAACCTGCTTCAGAGTGCTCTTGACCCTAGACTGGGGTGACGGTTCATCTTCCAGCAGGACAAGGACCCAAAGCACACCGCAAAAATATTAATGGGGTGGCTTTACTACAACTTAGTGAATGTCCTTGAGTGGCCCAGCCAAAGCCAAGACCTAAATCCTATTAAACATCTCTGGAGAGATCTGAAAACGGCTGTACACCGTCGCTTCCCATCCAACCTGATAGAGCTTGAGAGGTACTGCAAAGAGGAATGTGCAAAAATTCCAGGTGTGTCAAAAAAGACAGGTGTGCCAAGCTTGTGGCATCATAAAAAGATTTGAAGCTGTAATTTCTGCCAAAGATTTATCAAAGTATTGAGGAATACTTGTGTACATGTGGTTTTTTAGGTTTTTTATGTTTATTAAATTTGCAACAATTAAAAAAAAATCTTTTTTCACTTTGTCATTATGGGGGATTGTGTGAAGAATTGATGAAATAAATTAATTTAATCCATTTTGGAATAAGGCTGTAACAAACAAATGTGCAAAAAGCGTAGCGCTATGAATCTTTCCAGATGCATTGTATGTATCTTTTGCTTAAATGTAAGTTTGATTTAATAATACATCACATGATCCTTTTCTAAATTGGCTGGTTAGAATAGTTAAAAAGATTCATTGATTCATAAATCGTCTGTTTTCAAGGAACTGCATAAAACTCAGTTAGCCAATTATTGTTAATATAATAAAACATTCTATAAAGTGTTAAGATAAAACAAATATTGCAGATGCCTGCAGTCTGTTTAGCTACACATTTCAGTTCTAGAAACTAAAGCATCTTTAGTACTGTTACTTTTTAAAGTCTTCGTGTAATAGGTTTTATCTTTTGTTTGACAGGTTTCTTTTCCCAGCTGCTGAAATTGAACACCTTCAGTTTGTCTTTTTACAATTTTTAACTAATAAAATATGTTTCTGTTACATCGTCTCCGTCCATTTGTTCAGTCCTAATTGAGTCGTAAACATTATTAATCATAATATAAAGAAGAAAAATGTCAAACACTTACCTTTTTCTTTCCGAAAGCCATCGTTGTTGATAATGCGTAAAGAGAAGTCAAATGTTTACAAGCAGTGCTTACTTAAATGAACAATCACTTCCTCATTGGTTCTGGTGTAGTGTCATTTGCATATGACCATGACCTCCAGTCGTTTTGCATTGACAGTTACTGATGGTTTGTAAATCATTTGTTTTTTATTATTATTAATATTAAAAGACAAGCATAAAACCTCAAAACATACAATGCATGATGGGATGATGATGCCCGGATCACTGTTTGGCAAAAAAATAAAAGCTGAAGAGATTTAAAATGAACCAAGATTATAAGGCTGTTAAATATTAAAAGTGGTCTATAAAAACACAAAGGTTTGACGGATGGGCTCAAGAGGTGAGTGTTTTGGTGGTGTTGTTACTCTGGTTGATGTTGAGGGCCGCTAGTGAGTGGCTCTGGTCCTCCAGCTCTGGTGGTTCGCTCTCAGGGAGGGCAGGAGGGTCAGCGCTGGAGCTCTGCAGGGTCACCAGGAGTACCGCTGGCCTGCTTTGGATAGACGTTTCATCAACAGGCTGCTCTGCCTCTGGGTCTGAATCCAAGTCCAGACTGTGCTCCAGAGAGTCTGGGGTTCCTGTACAACTCTCTGCTGACACACGACAGAGCATTACACGAACATAACTATTTGTAAAATTAAATGCAAGAGGAAAAAAACTACTAATAATAAATCAACACAAATTGATGGTACAAAAAAAAAATGTAAATAGATAAATAATTTAGGTGTGGTTAAACTAATTTCGAGAGGATTACGTGCTTATGATTGAAACAATAGTGATAAACAAAATTATTAAAACAATATAAAAAAATAAATACATTTAAAATAAAATGTATATATATATATATATTCTCATAAATATATCACTAAAATAGATTTATAGATGAGAAATAATATAAATAAAATGAAACAAAGTCAAATACTAAAATATTAAGAATAGTAAATACAAAAAAATCAGCTAAAAATTAAATAAATAAATAAATTTAAAATGAGTGAAATGTAGTACCGTGGTCCTCCAGCTTGTCTAATTCAACAGCTGCAGGTTCATCTGGGAGGCCTTGTTCATCATTAGAGCAGCGTTCTTCATCAATGCTGCTCTGCTGCACACAGACAAACATCATCAGTATTTATAAAACCAATTTGTAAGGCGACCTTATATACCCCATTTTTTAAGATGTAAAATAAGGCTCTGATTTCCCTAGAGTATGTATGTGAAGTTTCAGCTCTAAATACCACACAAATACTCTTTGAAACTTTTATCCAAATTGTGCTGTTTTGTTTACTGTCACGTTAAATGGAAATGAGATTGTGGTCTTTAAAAGGAGGTGGAGTTATATACGTGTGACTGCATAGCCGCAGATTCAACACTCTAATGCTGTGTTCACATCAGACGTGGAACGCGTGGATAAATCACACTATTCGCATGAACATTTTGAGTTTACTCATTTCATTCATGCGTCACATTCACTTCATAACAGATGCCGATTCGCCTGATGGGCAGGGCTTCTATCTGCCCGGTGACTGTAGCTTTGTTGCCAAATCGCTAACATGGATTTTATTGAGACAATAGCTGTGTTTATGTGCTTCATGAAAGCTGAAAAACAGTGTCGATTCGTTTGGAGCCGTGTCTGAGTTCACTAGATCCTTTCAGAGGTGCTCCCAGCTCTGTGAGTTCATCAACTCCTTCAGAAACTTAACCTGGATGATGGAGGCTTTCAGTGGTGCTTCCGATTGAGCCGAGCCCAGTTTGATTAACTATTGTCCAGTGTCGGCTGGAGGATTTCCCCCCGGGACACCAACAACAGGCGCTATGTCATAAGCATGCCCCTATAAGAGAAAGCTCCTGATTGGTTAACGCGGCGCGTTTTTACCATTAGTAACTGGTTATATTCATACACTGTTGCCACAGAACTGTGTTTATTATCTGTAAAGTTCCTCTATAGTGCCTTAATATGGCGAGCTTTGTTTGACATGTGACAAAATTTCATCTGAATCACGAGACAGGGCAGGGCTTATTCAGTAGCCCCTCCCCCTTTCAAAATAGCTAATAGCATTTCACAGCTCTGCCTGTCAGAGTAGCTGACTGAATCCAGCACATAGAATTTTATAATTATGTGTAACAGACAATGGATTTTAGCATCACATTTTTGGAATTCCCACATTTTCATTACTAAAAAAAACATAGTGGACACAGTGTCGACTACAATTACTATTATTTTCAGTAAGGCTTTATTTAAAGGAAATGTAGTTACAAACATTCCTTCCACTTACCACAGTAATTACTACGAATTATGTATAATTACATGCAACTAACCCTAAACCACATTCTATCCCTAACCATATAGTTAGTACATGTAATTCAATAATATAACTCAGTAGTTAAATGAACAGTTAAACTGTAAATACATTACCTAAAAAAAAATGTGTAACCATATTTGCTTATACATGCAAATTTTAGCCCAAAGCTGTAAGAAGTATGAATGCTCAATTATTACTTTAGTGACGAGGGACACTTCAGAGTCTCTGGAGAGCATTTGATTGGCCAGAAGATCATGAGCTGAAGTTTAAATGCACAGTGATGTCATTAAAAAAATAAATCATTCACTCCTACTGGCAGAAGTGAGAACTCAGAAGTTCAAAATCATCAATACTGTAGATTTAAAGACCCCAAAAAACACCTTGAATTGATTTCAGGGGACTTTAATCCTCTGCCTCTCCAAATAGTCTTGAGCTTCCTGTTACGCAATCACACTCAAAACCATTTGCAGAAGGACTGGATCAAAGATGATATTGTTAAAATGTAAACAATGCTCAGTTTCTTGTACAGATGATCTTTTAAATCGCTTCATGAGATATGATTTGTAAGAAAAAATTATTAACAAGTATTCACTTTGTGTTGCCTGTAAGACTCAAAGTAGCAGTAGTCATTAACTTGTATTTTGTGTCAGGACAACAGTTTCCGCTAAAAATCGTATTTTATGTCCTACTGTAGAAGAATGAGTAGCCAACATCTTGGATGGTCTGAGGGTGAGTGAATTAATTGTCAATTTTTTTGGGTGAATAATCTCTCTAAGTCACTCACCTGCTGTAGAGACTGTGTGCGGGTGCTGCTGCTTGCAGGCCGACTGGACTCTGACTGAAAAATGGAGGGATAAAACACGATGAGGGTCTCCACTATGCGGGCCTGATATGGGTAATCCACCAGAGAGGACAGAGACACTGTGGCTCCCGAGGGCCGGGGCCGCATCAGTGACGGGCCAAACACGATCCCCAGATTACTGGGACTCATCTTATTGTCGTCTTCCAGTTCTGCAATCCTGAAAATAGACATTAAAAGTTGAATCAAGTAACTGAGCATTTGTTCTTCTATAAATTATTCATATATAATTATTTATTTATCATCACGTTTAAAAATGGATTTCCTCAATTCATTCTTTAACATCTATTATGGTTGTGTACAGTTTATAGTTTTTTAAAAATGTTTATATAGAGTGCTCAGCATAATTGAGTACACCTCCTTTTGAAAATGAATATATTTCTCCATTTCTCAGTGGATATAGTCAATGTATTTTGATGCATTTGACAAAACAGATTTATAAAACTGATATATTTATCAAAATAATAGTTTGGTCACCAAACATATTTAGAAATTGAAAGATAATACAATTAAATTCAAGCAAAATATTGCAAAAATAAATTACAACCTACAAAATTTCAACTAATTTTTAAACTTTTTTTTCTTCTCTTGTATTTTTCCTCCTTTTTATAAAAATTGCATTTAATATTTTAGTTAATAGTTTATAACATATACATTTGGATGTAATTTTGGGTGTGTTTTTGGGCAGTTATCGTAAGTTATTTTGTTAGACAAGCTCCAGATTTAGCTTCAGTACTGACTAATCCAATGTATATGCACAAATATAATACAGTACAGCTTCCTATTAAAAATACAAATTTAAAAGAAAGATTTGTTAGGGGTGTACTTGTATATGCTGAGCACTGTATATTATACAGTTGTGTATGTATGTGACATTTTACCTGTGATGCTTACCTAAATTTTTAAATGCATAATTATATTTTTTCTGATTCTTTCTTGTTTGATGAATTGAACTAGTGTTTGTTTTTTTGATGATTGTGTATGTGTATATAAATCTATATTATTTGTCTTGTTTTTACAGAGATATAATTTTATGTCTGACCTAAGCTGAACCAAATAAAGAAAAATATTTTTAAAAATCTTTAATTTTATTACAGTCAATCTAAAATAATGTAATTTACACAAATTTTGTCAATTGTTCAATCTAATTATTTATTCAGTCAATTCATACATTTATGTATTATGAAATGTATACACAGAATAAAAAATATATTTAGCAAATGTAAAAATATACTATTTTGATTAATAAAAACATTTCCTATTATTTTGCCTATTTGTTCTGCATTATAAAATTATTCTGTTTATTTTTTTAGTGACCATCCAAAAATTTACTTCAATACACACTCACTGGCCACTTTATTAATTACACCTGTCCAACTGCTCCTTAGTGCAAATTTCTAATGAGCCAATCACAAGGCACCAACTTAATGTATTTAGGCAGTTCAAACAGAGCATCAGAATGGGGAAGAAATGTGATTTAAGTGACCTTGAACATGACATGTTCATGTTGGTGTCAGACCGGCTGGTCTCAGTATTTCAGAAACTGCTGATCAACTGGGGGTTTCATGAACAACCATCTCCAGGGTTTACAAAGAATGGTCCGAAAAAGAGAAAATATCCAGTGAGCGGCAGTTCTGTGGGCACAAAAGCCTTTTTGATGCCAGACGTCAGAGGAGAATGGCCAGGCTGGTTCAAGCCAATAGAAAGGCAATAGTAGCTCGAGGTATGCATCTCTTAACACACAACACGTCCAACCTTGAGGCTGATGAGCTAAAGCAGCAGAAGACCACACCGGGTGTCACTCTTGTCAGCTAAGAATAGGAAACTGAGGCTACAATTCACACAGGCTCACCAAAAGTGGACAGTAGAAGATTGGAAAAACGTTGCCAGGTCTGATGAGTCTCGATTTCTACTGCAACATTCGTATGGTTGGGTTAGAATGTGGCATCAACAACATGAAACCATGGATCCATCCAGCCTTGTATCAACAGTTCAGGCTGGTAGTGTAATAGTGTGGGGGATATTTTCTTGGCACACTTTACACCCATTAGTACCAATTGAGCATTGTGTCAATGCCACAGCCTACCTGAGTATTGTTGCGAACCATGTCCATCCCTTTATGACCACATTGGAACCATCTTCTGATGGCTACTTCAAGTAGGATAACGTGCCATATCATAAAGCGTGAACCATCTCAGACTGGTTTTTTAAACATGACACTGAGTTCACTGTACTCAAATGGCCTCCACAGTCACCAGAACTCTATCAAATAGAGCACCTTTGGGATGCGGTGGAACGGGAGATTTGCATCATGGATGTGCAGCAATCAAATCATGTCAATATGGACCAAAATCTCTGAGCAATATTTGCAGTACCTTGTTTAATCTATGTCATGAAGGATTAAGGCAGTTCTGAAGGCAAAAGAGCGTCCAACATGGTAATAGTAATGTGTACCTAATAAAGTGGCCAGTGAGTGTATATAAAATGTATTAAAAGTGTACATTTCCTAAAAGTAAGAATTTATGACAAATTTATTATTTTTAATTAAAATTTGATACATTTTTTACATACTTTGACAAACACTTAAGTTGCTTTGCGTTTATTTTATTCAACAATTTATTATTAATTCATTTCTTTTATTATAGATTTTTAAAATTATTATTCAAAACCTCAATTAGAGATTTAGCAAAAATGATATGCTTAAAGCATTTAGAAAAGTTTGTATTGAGAAAATTAGTAAATCTTGTATTAGTTAATGTTGTTTGATGCATTTACTAATGTTAATTGATGCATTAACATAAACTAATGAAACCATATTGTAAAGTGTGACCAGTTTACCTCCTCAGATGACGCGCTAGGTAGCGGAGCGTGGCGGTGTTTGGTTTGGGCAGCTCTTTCAGGAGATTTTTAAGTCTGTCCACGAGGACCAAGAGTTCAGGATCCGTCTCAGGTCCAAGGTCCATCAGGTCTGGTCCTTTACCACTGTCAGCTCCCTCTGGACCCACAACAGCCAGACTTTCCTTGGCCAGACCCATGAGACTGTTGTAGAGGCGGAAGGGCATGATGGGCTCCGGAAGCTGAAGAAAACACACACACACAAACAGAGTTAAGTGGATTTGACTTTGAATGTTTTTGCTAGATGTCTTCAATGTTTTTCATGGATGTTTTGTTCACCTGTCGCAGGTAAAGCTTCAGGACATTACTGATGTCATGTGGAGATGACTGTGATAGTTCGACCAGCTCTTTGCCGTTCTCAAATGCCTGGCAGAGTTTCTCCACCCGCGTCTTTACTCCATTCACTCGATAAATGCCCTGACAGAAATAGGAGAGAATTCGTTATCGCTTTTTAATCGGTGAAGACGTGCAAGATCTGACCGGTAGTTTGCATACCTTCATCCTTAAAGCTCGTCTCTCTATCTCAGCGATGCACTTCTTGATTATGAAGGGGATCCCATCGGGACTGTTGCTGGACACCTGCAAGAAATCCTGCCCGAACAGCTGAAGGCGGCCCTGGAGCTTCTTGTGGCCGCACTGAATGGCTATAGTCTCCAAGCAGCGTTTGTGACAAGCCAGGAAACACTACATAGGGGAAATCAAAATGACTGAAAAATACTGGTTTATTTCAAACACAAGCCCAAACTTCAAGACTTTTCACACTGCACATTACAAAATCGGCTTTAAGCCTGGCTAAAGGATCAATTCTGTGCATTTTATCCAGGGTTATGATAACCTAGCCTAGACTAGGGTTAGCATAAATGTTTTACCCAGGGATAATTAGGCATGTTCTGGAATGGGGATATAGCACATTTTACCTAGTTATAATTGCTTTTTAACCATGGTGAAGAAATCCTACTCTAGGGATTAGTGACATTTTACCCCAATTTTTTTTTTACCAAGGGATATCATGTTTTCAACCATTGTTATTTTTAACCTATGGTTATCATGCTAAACCTATTTTTTTAGGGCTATCGTTTTTTTATACCTATGATTATTTATTTGCCCAGGGCATCATGTTATTTTAATCCAGGGTTATTTTTTATCAATGGGGATCCCTGTTTGTTAACCAATGTTTGTTTTTTTTTGTCCAGGGTATCACTTTTTTTAACCCAGGATAATTGCTTTTTACCAAGGGCAATCCCTGTTGTTTTTTTTGTTTTTTTTTTACCTTTTTCCCAGGCTTTCATGTTTGTTTAACCCAGAATTATCACAGATTTTTTTAACCTAAAGTTATTTTTATCATCGGTGATCCCTGAGTTTTAACCCATGATTATTATTTTGCTTAGGGTTTCACTTTTTCTTTTACCCAGAGTTATTTAGTTTTTAACTCTGGTTATTTTTTTAATGGGCTGGCACTGTTTTTTACCTAGAGTTATTTTTTACCCAGGGCTATTGCTGTTCTTTTACCCAGGGATATCAATGTTTCTTTTTTACCCAGAATTATTTTACTTGTGGATATATTTTGTTTACCCATAGCTATTTTTACCCTGGGGTTACCATGTTGTTGTTGTTGTTTTTCCCCCAGGTCAATTACTTTACAGTTTTTTATTATTATATTATATTATATTATATTATATTATATTATATTATATTATATTATATTATATTATATTATATTATATTATATTATATTATATTATATTAATTTTTAGATATTACTATAACTGTTTTTTACCCAAGACTATTTTAAAAAAGTTTTTTGCTGTTCTTTTACCCAGGGATATTAGTTTATTTTTTTATCCATGAATATAAAATGTATCTGGCACTGAGTTAGCACCACTTTTAACCTGTTTTTTAATTAATTATCCCTTTAAAACCAGGGTTATGAAACCCTAGTCTAAAGAGTTAGCGCAGATTTTTTGTTGCTGGGGTTATTTTTACCCAATTAGCACCATTTTACACCCAGGGTTGTGAAACCCCCACTCTAGCCCAGGGTTAGCATGATTTTTCTTCCAGGGCATTATAAAAATCTGCTCCATATTAGGAGTAATTGTTTTTTTTTTATCACCATGGTTTAGAGGAGGAGTGCCAATTCCTGTTCCTGGAGATCTACAATCCTGCAGAGTTTAGCTCCAACCATGATCAAACAAATGTGATCGAACAAATGTGGTCACCCCTGGTTAAGATTAATACAGTGTTAAATATTAAGTGTGAGAAATCCTTTTGGATGCAGTAAATGTGTCCTCACCTCCTCACACTCGGCTCCCTGGAAATAAACGTAGCTGTCACATTCTCTGCATTTGGATGGAGAGCGCAGTTTACGCAGTTTGTGCGTCTGAGCGGCTTTTGACAAGCCAATGTTCCTGAAGGGCCCAGTGGGCACCACAATCTCAGGCTCAATGCCATTTATATCTGCAAAATATTGAGCGGACAGTGAGAAACTAGAAGATAGACACACATTGGAAATACACTATGCACTGTGTAATCTCACTTGGCGTTTCAAAGGAAGTAACATTTGCGTCTTTCTCATCTATATCTTCATTTGATGACATGGTTCCTGTAGATGACGTCCTGGTCATTTTACTAATATCACCTATAAAAAAATAATAATTAATATTTAATGTATGTCCATAAACAAACAAATATTTAGTGTTTGTGAACATTAAAGTGTATAATTAAATATTATAATAAAGTTTGGATTTTAAATGAATGAAAAACAATGATTTTTTTTTTATTCTGAATAGAGCACATGTCCAAGTTTAATAAAGAACATTCATGTCTAGAAGTACCTGTGCTGGTAGTCGGGGATTCCAGGCCACTTCCTCCTCCTACACTGTCTGTGTCACTCACTGTGGAGCCCCAGGATTTGTGAGTCATGTGACCTCGAGCTAACACAACAGAAAAAACTATTCAGACCCATTTGCAAGACATTTGAGCATTCGTTTTTATGAATGATAAAATTTAACAATATTTCGCTGGGCGACAAAGTGGCTCAAGAAGGTTGCTGTTTGAGTTCTGGCTGAGCCATTTGGCATTTCTGTGTGGAGTTTGCATGTTCTCCCTATGTTGGAGTGGGCTTCCTCCAGGTGCTCCGGTTACCCCCACAGTCCAAGGACATGTGGTACAGGTGAATTGAATAAACTAAATTGGCCGTAGTGTATGAGTGTGAATGAGTGTGTATGCATGTTTTCCAGTACTGGGTTACACCTGAAAGGGCATTTGCTGTGTAAAACATATGCTGCATAAGTTGGTGGTTCATTCCGCTTTGGCGGCCTCTGATGAATAAAGAGAGTAAGCTGAAGGAAAATGAATGAATTATTTTTTAAGTCTCAAGATCAATGTGCCAACATATAAAGTAACATATGCGAGCTTCCGACATCTGGAGTTGGATTTCAGCTCACAGACCAATTTGCTAAAACATTGCTTAGATATAGCCTCAAGTCGACTTTGTTGAGCTTCTCAATTATTTTTTTAAACATTACTCAAGAATGATTTAATAAATCAATTCAAATTCCAAAACCTTTTGCTTGCATGCTCTGAAGACAACCCACTTAGTCTTACTTAGCTTTTTAATTAATTATTTTTAAAACCCTAAAGGGCACTTTTTTGGCAAAATCAATGCACAACGTTATTAGCATAAAGTGTATAAGTTTGAACAATAGGTGGTGCTAAAGGGACTGAGTCAGAGACTCCAAATTTAAAGCCCTGCATTTGAGCCCGAACCCGTTGGGGCCCGACCTTTTATGCCCCTAGGGCCAATTTTCACGTCATAGATAGCACACATATTGGACTTTGCGAAAAGTAGAAAAAACTTTTTAAAAAGTTTAATGATATCTAACACATGCGGTCCGGAAGTGCCAGAGGTGCCCTGCATTTAGAGATTTCCAGCCAATAGAGAACATAAAGAGAAAAATTGCCAATGGCGAACTTAAAGCTGTGAAAAACGATAGAGGAAAGACAAACTTCTGGTCAACTTGTCAAATAGGGACAACTTTAAATGATGAGCCAACAGGTTAAGCACAATGCACAACTGGTAAGTTTAGTAAACTCATTGTGGACCACAAACTCTTGGATATTGAGGTCACTGTCAAAAATGTCAAAAAAAAAAAAAAACATTTCTCTAAATTATTATGATAAAACAAAAAAACAAAAATAAGAAGCGAAAAAACATCAACTTTCTATTAAATACAAATATGGTCTATTTTAATGGTTGTAACTGTTTGGCGGAAAAAAGATTTTGGACAAAGGCAGGGATACAGCCTGTGCATCTTGGGCCAGGGCCAGGCTCGGGCTTACATTTAAGGCTAATGCAGGGCTCTATCCAAATTTGCCTTTGGATAGTGCTATGTCCGAAATCGCATACTTCTTCAGTAGGTTCTACATTTGAATTTACTTCATGACCATTAGAAAAGCATGTTCTATGTTGACCTTATTCTGCTGTGTTTTTGTATAGTTTTTAAATGTTTAACTCTATGTTGTTTATGTATATTTAAAAAGGTTTTAAAAGGCGCTGTATAAAACAAAACATTTTAAATTATTATTGAAGTAAACAAAGATAATTCGCACATACCCCTCTTCTGATCATCTTTCTGTGAGCTGCTCGTGTCTCCAGTCTCTCCTGCAGTTTGTGGCACCTCAGCACTGCTCTGAGCTTCAGCATTAGCGCTGTCGGTGCGCGGCCTAACCGACTGCCTGAAATAAACACCACATTAAAAGTAACATTCACAGCAACTTTCAGAATACATGTTTTAGTATGCGTGTCTTACTGGACAGAGGAGGCAGAGTAGGCCTCAAACTCATAATGCGTTTCAGGTTCTTCGCTCATCTGAAGGTCTTTGACGTGCGTGCCGTACTGCTGTCCCGGGTCGTACTGTTTACTGCTCTCGCACAGAGTCTGGTAGTGGACCGGCAGCGCGACCGTCTGCATGTGCATGATCTGGTAGTAGGAGATGGTGGCCTGGAAAAAGTTTTTTTTTTCAGAGCTCACAGTTAAAACCCGCTCAAGCTGGATTTAGATTTTCTGGCTGTGTTTCAGCATTTATTTGTTTCTATTAAGTCCAAGAAATGCAAGACTGGGCCATTGCTTAAGCATGTAAACAAGCACAGATATTCTGATCAGAGTTTAAAGTGGAGTTTGCACTTTGGAAACGTGTACTAATTTAAAGAAGTATTTCTTTAATATATTCATTCATTTGATTATTTATTACACGTTGGTTTTATTTAACATCTTAGAAAACTTTTTAATATTATATTATCATTACTAACAAATGTAATACTAATTAATGCTACTAATCATGCAAATTCATGCACTGATCTAAACAGAAATGGAATTAAGATGTGGAGTATGCAGATATTAGTGGCATTATTGAAGTAAACACTGTGATCAAACTATTACCGTCATGTAGGACTTTGTCATATTTTCCGACAAGATACATACACGGCTGTCAGTAAAGGACCGCGCACGCACACACACACACAAAACGCAAAACTTTTTTTCTATCCATTTGGCGTGCATCATATTAAATTCCCTAACACTCTGACCAGTCCTTACTTCGTATTTGCATCTAATACCCCAGTTTGTCACGGTGGCATGAATTAAATGTTCATGATTAAATGTGAAACTACCGAACTGCAGTTAAAGTCAGGCAACCTGCTGATTTGCTCACTGGTCAGGTATACATCCGCGCTAAAATATCAAGGTGAAAGTCATCACAGCTTGTGTAGAATAGACCCAGCTCCCAAACCCAACTTTGAGAATAGATTAACGGCAACATTTTTTTAATCACACAATAAGAGTCACGCGTTAAAGCAGCACAGTAACATGGATAACGGCCCACCACTAATTAATATATTTTTACTTAAATATTTGTTGTGTTTTCAGATTTTCCATTCATGTATTTCTCAATTTTAAAAATCCATAGCACTTTTTAAATATATGTAATATATTTGGAAAATATTACCTTTGATTTTACAATATTTACAAAATATATTTAAAAATATGTAATAATTTTTTTATATTTAAATAAAAATATGAAAATTCTGTGCATTTTACATTAACCCTTTAACTACCTCAAAAAGAAAAAAAAAGGTTGAATTGCATTTCTTAACTCCTAATGTCGCTAGTTAACACACTCAATGTTTTTTTTTTCAACACATCTCCCCTAATTTCTAAAATATCAACCTCTACCAAAGGACTGATATGTCGGTTTATGGTGAAAGTACCGGACTTAATCGATGTACTATAAAAAAATCTGAAAATATGAAGTGTAAGAGTCATTTATTTTAAAAAATATTCCAAATTAAAACATTTTTAAATGCCAAATCATATATTTTTTATATTCCTGATTATCATTTAACATGTTTTCTTGTTTTTTTGTTGTTGTTTTTTTTAACAATAAAACCAAAATCAAGTGTATTAGTGCAACAGGATTATGTTTGTGTGATTTTTATTTTGTAACCCAACAATGCTGTGTAAGAGCAATTATTTAAAACAGCCGTTCTTTGAATGAATTTAACAGTCATTATTTAAAACAGTCAAAATATGGTCAACCATTTGGTAAAGCAGGCAGTCAAAGGGTTAATCTGTGTTTTTTTTTTGTAAAAAGAAAGAAAATTGTCCCTTACAGATCGAATGGTCTGGTCGGTCTGCTTGATGACCTCTTGAATCCCCCGCAGGACAGTGACTTTCATGTGCTCTAGCTCCTGGTGTTGAGTGATAGCGTCTGCAATGCAGGTCCGGTATGTGGCCTCCGCTTCCTCAGCCTGACACAAACACAGACACCGTTTCATCCAAATCTCCTCCAGAAGCATTTACACTCAACATTTAATTGACAATAAAATGCTACCGACAGTAAATGAGTCGAGAAGCATCATTTTACCAGTGTTGCCATGACAGCACAAGTATACTGCAATACAAATGTCCTGTCTGTGTGTTATTTTAACAGACTTTGCTTTTGTGGTGAGCATGTGTAATTCATGCATAGATAAGTATAAGTGTTCATAAGCGAAATATCCACAGAGTGTAATATTGAAAACTCTGGCAAAGTTGAGCATGGAAGCTAGTCAACAGTTCACTCTGCTGCTCGTGCTTTAGTCGGTACCTTGAAGTGAATAGGTTTCATAGCGCAGCGCTTTCAGAGTTCAGTGTGAAAGCTGCTTCAGACCATGCACTGACTATACCTATAGGGACAGCGAAACCAGCACGCTGAACACTGCGGTGAGGCATTTTTTCACCTCAACATTTTAGGACATTTTTTCCTTTTTTGTGGTCAAGCTGACCCACAGGATCAATGCGGGGACTTGTTTGTCACTGTGGTCTTTCAGGAATCAGTTTCATGCACTCCATTTCTCCATGACCACCACAGCATCAGCTCAGGATACGACCTGATCCAGGATTAATGATACCTTGGCATAATTTCTCCACAGGTTTTGTAAATAAGTAAATCTCTATGTTTGTCAACAGACTCAAACTGACTATTACTGTAATTCCATTTCTTCTTCACTGATACAGGCATTATTTTTCAATTTTATGTAATGTACTTGCCCTAAACACAGTAAATATACTTAACAGTTCTGGATAAATCAGTTCAGAGCATACCCGGCAAACCTGATTCTCCTGTATTTTACCATTCTTTCCCGCTATCACTCTGTTTAGGTATTTCCCTGTATATATTTTGACCTTTCTTTCTATGAAAAGTGAAAGTAGCACCAAAGACACGATCTCAAATATGATATAATTGCAAGAGCTGATCAAGAGAATTATGCTTTCGCTTTCTTTTGGCTTGAAAGCACATTGAAACGAATATAAAAATGGCTGCTTTCACTTCATTGGGTTACATGTTGACAGATATAATTCAGAAAAGAAAATTATACTTTTACAATTATAATTTCAACTAAAGGTGAACATTTAATCAAGATGATTGAACACTTAAGAAATTAATAACAATACATAGCATGTGTGAAATATGGCATCATTACTTTAAAATGTTTGGTGTTTTGATACATATGATGTTAAACATTTTTATAACATGTTTTAAACAAATCTAAAAGGCCCTTTCTAAATCTAAAACTCGCATTTAAATAATTAAAAGATGGCAATTTCTATTGTTGGTGTGTTGAGATTTATATGAGGTTTATGTAGTATTTTACACAGTCAAATAAAGTAAACTAGAAAAGTCTATTAAATGACATTTTAATGATGTAATTAGTAATCAGAAATTAATGACTTTTTTGAAGTAACTTACCCAGCACTGATCATATGGATGCAAAACTGTCTTGAACATGTGTTGCTGTAGTTTTTACCACTTATCACACTAATGCTAATTCTTATAGTGTGGAAAAATTTTACAGATATAATCGCAAATGGTGACATCATCCATGCCTACTCTGTTTACAAAGAATGATCTAAAACAGAGAAAATATCTTAAAAGCAGGAGTTCAATGCAAAAAAGTTCTTGAGTTAAAAGGCTCAAACGGCACCTAATCACAACTGAGGTCTGCATAAGCTCATCTCTGACCCTGTTGAAACTGGAAGCAGATTAGCTACAGCAATGGAAGAACAAATTTGTGTTGTGTCTTGAGACAAACAAAAAATAAGCAAACAAATCTGTAGGTCATATTCTATAGCTAATAAAGTGTCAGTGCAATCACCAGACTCTGACCTTGTTTCTGGCCTCTTCCTCCAGTCGTTTCTTCTTGTCCAGTGTTTTGGTGGTGGCACTGCCGCCCTCCTCCTCGGCCCTGTTCGCCGCTGTCCTGGCTTTATCATATTCTTCACAGCGGGTCATGTAGACCTGTTTAGCCCTGCGTAGGTTCACGTCACACTCCATCTGCGCTCAAACACACATCACCTCTTACAGATCTGCATCTGTGTTTATAAACGGTGTTCAGTGAGCTCAGATGATGCACAAATGTAAATGTTACCAGTTTTCTTTTGGCCTTCAGCCACTGCTCCTTGATCTCTTTGCGTTTCTTCTCATGCTCTTGTTTGCGGACCATCAGAGGCTAGGGACAAACATAAAAAACTTAAGTGAAAACAATAAAAAAAAAAATAATAATAATAATAAGTAGAACTTTAAAAAATGAAACAGAAAGGGATGCAGACACAGCAATTTTAAGTTGCATATCTTAATTCAAGTGATACAGAATATTCAGCTACAAAAATAATATACATAAAATATTAAAAGAAAATTTAAAATTATATTAAAAATAATTTTATTATTGGTTAATATTGTTTAACAATAAAAAGCACAATTCTGATAAACTATATTATTAACAACAACAACAACAATAATAATAAATATTGTTACTATTAATAATAATAAAAAACAATAATAATAAACAATTGTAATAATAATAATAATAATAAAAATAATAATTATGATTATAAAATTTATTATTTTTAATAATAATAATAATAATAATAATAATAATAATAATAAAATATAAAAATAAAAATAATATAAAACGTTAATAATGATAATAATGATAATATAATAAATATAAAATTAATAAAATAATAATAGTAATAATATGAACACTATTATTAACAATAATATTTAAAAATTGTATTATGAATATAATCATAATAATTATTATTATGTGTGATATTATTATTATTAATAATAATAATAATAATAATAATAATAATAATAAATATACAATTTTAGTAATAATATTAAAATTAACAATACTATTATATTATGGATATAATAATAATAACAATAATAACAATAATAATAATAATAATAATAATGATAATAATAATAATTATTATTATTATAAAATTATATTATGAATAATAATAATAATGATGATGATGATGATGAGTAATAATATTAAAATTAACAATACTATTTTATTATGGATATAATAATAATAATATTAATAATAATAATAATAACAATAACAATAATAATGATAATAATAATAATAATAATAATAATTATTATTATTATAATTATTATTATTATTATAAAATTGTATTATGAATAATAATAATAATGATGATGATGATAATGATGAATTAACATTTAATCAAATTATATCATACAGACTTTATTTTCATGTAGAACATTTAATTTTAATATACATATTTTTTTTATTATTATTATTATAAATTGTATATTTCATATTAATAGGTTAATAAACTAATATATTTTGTATAATAGTTACTACTTATTTTGTATTATTATGTATATTGTTAATTTTCATGTTAATCGTTACTGCAAATACCACTGTATTACATAAGTTAGTAATGTAACAACAACAACTAAAAATGCTATTAATAGTATGATATTAACTAATCATGAACATTAAATTATATTAATCATGAACATCATAGTAACTAATGCTAATTGGTGTAGTTTCTATTGACAGGGCAATCAGTGGTCATTTTGTCTCTGTACCATGATAAAGGTCTGGTTCTGTAGAGTTGCGGCAGCCTGATGCATGCCATTGCTCTGCTCCAGATCCTGCTCCAGTGCCTGAGAGTAGATGGTGAAGAAGGGCATGTGTGGCTGAAAACACCAACAAACACACAGATGAGGACACAACCAAAACACAGACACTCAGTACTACATGACTCAACAATAACTTGCATATTCACTCCCTGATTATGTTTCATAAACTGACAATAAATTCATTCATTAATTTTCCTTAGGCTTAGTCCCTTATTTACCAGGGATCTCCACAGCAGAATGAACCGCCAACTATTCTGGCATACGTTTAGCGAAGCGGATGCTCTTCCAGCCGCAACCCAGTACTGGGAAACACCCATACACTCTCGCATTCACACACAAACATTAGGCCAATTTAGATCATTCCAATTCACATATAGCGCATGTCTTTGGACTGTAGGGGAAAACGAAGCACGGGGAGAACATACAAACTCCACACAGAAATGTCAACTGACCCACCCAGAACATGAACCAGCGACCTTCCTACTTTGATGCAACAGGTTTTTAATAATCCTTTAGCAGTGTAATTTGTCAGACTGCACAAACTTGATACCCACATGCAAGACCCACAACTTATTATTTTTAATAAAAGCAGAAAAAAAGCTGTTTTAGCATTTCCCTGCAGTGGTTTGAAGCTGTAATGCTGAATAAGTAATCAGATTCTGTGCTGCTATTGATTCTTTATTTGTCAGCCAAATGGTGCGAATGACGTAGAATGTGCGATGTGTTTAATGCAAATGCGCAGAACTTGTCTCAAATCGCATCTTCTGCGCAAGTTTAAAAAAATTGTTAATTAAATCTTTTGAACATGGGTTATTGGTTTGCATGTAAAGTCCTGGGGCCTCATGTATCAACGCTGCGTACGCACAAAAACTTTGCGTACGCCAGGTTTCACGCTCAGAATTGCTCACGTTTGGATTTACTAACAATGAACTGAACGTGGGAATGTGCGCAGCTTCACGGCAGCTTTTTGGCTGGCGTACGCACATTTTTTGTGCGTGTCTGTTTTATTTCCATAAGGTTTCCATACCATACAGTTGACCAGGTAAACATTAAAGCACAATTTGCAGCGGTCGCCTGTTTTCCAAATGCAATCTGAGCTATCTACTGCACGCACATTGCTATAAAGACAATAATTGAAGATGAATTTGCATGCGTGAATCAGAAACATTTCAATTTAATAAATGTGCAAATAAAATATGATGCACAAACTTATTGATGATTCCTACTTGTCTTTCTCGTGATAAATAGTGGGCAAAATCTGATATGTAGCGGGGGAAAAATGAAGAAAGAGTTCATCAGACGCTGGATTCGAGCCGAGTTTGTGCTCGAACGTGTCAATTCATGATCACATGCGTCTTACGAGGTGCGCCACAGAGACTGCTAAGGGTATTGCAACATTTTACAGATATAAACCACACTATTTCCTTTTTTAATGCACTCAGTGCGATGTTCAGACCCAACTGTGTTAACCGTATCAGCTAAACTCTCCCACTCTATTTTTTTCTTTTGTTGTTAATTCCGGAGAACAAACTTGCAAATAACACCGCTTTTCTCCGGTCTACCTCCGAAAGCAGCACCTCCATTTCACATTCTGTTCAAAGTTTCTCTTTTTGCTTGCTTTTGCCATTGCTTCGTTGGGTTTTGCCATTAGCATAGTCATTAGCATATTCATACGGGGGAGGAGGCAGGGAGGGGTTTTGCGCTCGTGCATGTTGCGCTCAGTTTCACGTTTATTCGGATGTACAAAAGAATATGCGTGAGATTCGGCGTACGCAGTGTTTCATACATCTGAATTTTTTTCTGCGTACGCACATTTACAGCTTTGTGTGTACGCAATGTTTTAGTAAGATTTCCACGCAAGTCTTCGTACATGAGGCCCCTGGTCATGATAATTTCACGATTTCAGTAATATTTATTTGACGTAGAATGTTGTTGGGATACGTACATGACAAATGGACATCGTGACAATAGATTCAATCGTTTCTTTATGTGTGATGTGCCATAGTTCACGACAACGGATTCCATGCCTGCAATGCCTCATGACATCATTGCAGAAAGTCTATCATGGGTAATTTTTTTCTCGTTCTTCATGATGAGTTCCATCACGTAGGTGACACTGTGCAATATAGGAGCACATAACTTCTCGGTTATATCAGTGGATTCTGCAAACAATGCGCTGGTCAGGTAATCAAAAAAATAGGCTGCATATTTACTTGTGGGTTGGTCATGGGTGGATAAGATTAATCATTGGTTATGAAAACTTTAACTATCTTTTCTAAAATATTAAGGTGTTTCAAGCAATTTTATCAGAAAGACTGACACAAATATGCAGACATCTTCATTCACATCTTCGAGTTACTGAGTTCCCTCATCCTTCCAAGTCTGTTTTTCCAAAGTAATCTGGGAACATTTTCAGTGATGCAAATACATTGCAAAAGCATTTTCTGCTTGTTCAAATTTGTCATTAATAGTGAAAACAGTTGAATATAGGCTTCTCTGAAACTGTCAAAATTTCACCTAAATTTTATTTAAGTTATATAATTATTTTATTTAATAAACCGACACAACCTCAGGAAAATTCATGCTTTTGAAAAAAAAAAACATTGAAATTAAAATAAGAATATTGTTACAGCAACACTTGTGATTGCTTTGGGAAATAGTGTCCGTTGTAGACGTCACAGAATGACTGATCGTGAAGGAACGTGTAGTCTGGCACATTTGTTACCCACGACAAGTCAAGATTTCAAGATGAAAAATAAATAAATAAATAAATAAACAAATAAACAAATAATAATAATAATAATAATAATAATAATAATAATAATAATAATAATAATATATATATATATATATATATATATATATATATATATATATATATATATATATATATATATATATATATATATATATATATATATCACACATAATCTGACAGCGACTTTCGTAACCGACAATAAAAATTATGTGATCTAATCAGGGCCTAAGTGGTAACAACAGGTCAGCTGATTTTTGTTCGGTTTGAGTTGGCATTCTATTCAGTTGCAGGTAAACATGCTGAAATCTCACCTGTGTGATGGTCTGTTTACACGACTGATAGATCCTCTGTAAACCCTTGGAGAACTCCAGCTCTGAATAGACATACAAAGCAGTAATTATAAAAGGAGCTCTGCTGTAGTCACTTTAAACTGGTTTATATAGAAACGAGATACTTTAATAATAATAATAGTAACGTAACACTTGTAACCCATTTTAAATGAATGAAAGCACATGTGATCTTACCCAGCGCAAGCTTCCTCTCTACGTATCCGATGAGATCCTTCAAGTATTTGGAGATGGTTTTAGCGTACGTCAGAGCGGAGTCCACACCGCCTTCACTGCGCTGCAGGATGATGTCCACCTCTTCAGCGCTCATCGCTGACAGCATACAGAAGAAAAACAAAATAATAAGACACTATTGTTATTCATTTATTTATTTATATAATAGGTGTTTTTATTATTAATATAGTTTTAACATATTATATATAAACTATATTTAATTAAATTTTTTATGTTATGCAAATGATATATTTTGTTATGTTATATTCGACAATATCTATTTATCAATTAATTTATTTTTAAACATTAATTTCAATATATTTTTTTCAATACATTTTTTTATTTTAATAACGATGATGATGATGATTGTAATTAGTGTTATTATTTTACTACTACTACTACTACTACTACTACCACTACAACTATTAATTTATATTATTATTATTATTATTAATAATAATAATAATAATAATAATAATAAAAATAAATAAAATGCTAGATTATTTTTATAATTTGTTCTAATATTTCTAAATATATTAAAGAATATTTGAAATTGATAATAATAATAATAATAATAATAATAATAATAATAATAATGTCTAAAGCTAGAATATTCTTAATTTAATTATTCTAAATATATTAAAAAGTATTTTAAATTGATAATAATGATAATAATATTAATAATATACTAGAAAATTATTATAATTTGTTCTAATTAATCTAAATATATTAAATATTTTAAATTATTAATAATAATAATAATAAAATATTTTAATAATGATAATAATGATATTAATATTTTTAATAATAATAAAAAAATAATAATAACAACAACAACAACAACGTCTAAAGCTAGAATATTCTTATAAATTAATTACGTTAAATATAATAAATCATATTTTAAATTAATAATAATAATAATAATTATAATGCTAGAATATAATCATCATCTGTTCTAATAAATCTAAACATATTAAACAATAATTTACATTAATAATAATAGTAGTATTATTGTTAATAATAATAATAATAATAATAATAATAATAATAAAATAGTAATAAAATATTTAACAACAACAACAACAACAATAATAATATTAATGTCTAAAGCTAGATTATTCTTATAATTTATTTACTATAAATATATTAAATAATATTTTTAATTAATAATAACAATAACAACAACAATAATAATAATAATAATAAAATATTATTATAATTTGTTCTAATTAATCTAAATATATTAAAGAAAATTGTTAATTAATAATAAAAAATATTTTAAACAACAACAACAACAACAACAATAATAATAATTTAAATAATAATAATAATAATAATAACAATGTCAAAAGCTATTCTTATAATTTAATTACTCTAAATAGATTAAAGAATATTTTAAATTATTAATATTCTTATAATTTGCTGTAATCATTTTAAATAAGTTAAAGAATATCTTAAATTAATAATAATAGTAATAATCAAAAAAAAAAAGTACCCAGCTCAGATGAATCACCCCATGTGTGTGAAGACCCATGACCAGAGAGATTCTCCATAGACTGGATAATCAAGAAATAACACATGTAAAACATATGCATCATACACATCTGTTAAGCTGGTTCAGTGTGATCATTACAGTGAAGATCTGCTTCTAAACACAGAAGTGCACTTTCAGGAAGTAAAAACCCTGCAGCCAACATCCGCTCTTCACAGGCAGTGAAACAACACATACACGCATACACTCGCACTCACCCTGCTTTTCTCAGTGGGCACCACTGACAACAGTGTACTACTGTCCACCTCTCCCATCAGCAGCTCCGAAACACTGACAAAATACAAACACACAAATTTGACTTTTTATTTCTCTCACAACTGACCTTTTTTGCAATTACAAGTTACATCTCTTAATTCATCAGATTTTCATGTTTATTTTATGCAATTCTAATTTATCTAAATTACATTTAACTCAGAATTGTAAAAAATCCAACAAATTTGCAGTTATAAAAAGAAATGTGAATTGTGTACAATTCTATAAACTTACAATTTCAAGAAAAAACATCATGAATCAGAGTAAAGAGAGTGCAAAAAATTAAAATCTTTTCTATTTTTACTTTGAACCACAAGTCACAAAAGGCAGAAATGGCTTCTATTATGACATTTCAAAGGTTCCTTATTTGGTTTCATAAGCCTCCTACGATGTTTACATAAATCAAAATTAATGAATACAAATAATTTTATCATAACATACACTCTAGCATCAGCTCTTTTCATAGTGTCAGAAGCTTAGTGCCAAGCCACACCTTTCCAGGAGCATACTCTGTTCTGATTGATCAGATGACTTAGGCCTAACCCCAATTCTACCGCTTAGCCCTTCCCCCCTTGTTTTGAGTGTTCACGTGAAGGGGTAGACGTTTCCCAATTCCCTTTGGTTTGAAGGCATAGGGCTAAAAGGAAGGACTAGATGCCACTTCAAATGGAGATTTTTCAGGACCACACTTAAAACCAAGGGGTAACAAAATTTCCCAGAATACGCCAACTACAATGGCAGCATTGTAAGGAGTAAGGAGATCAACAAGTTAGTATTTTTTGTCATTCTTATGAATTTTTACAGCAAACAAACATACGTTTTAATACATTCATAACAGCGTTTACCGTCATGCTTAAAAAAATAATAATAATAAAACGCTGAATTTCGCCATCTATAATCCCTAATGATAACTCCTGTATAGTAGTCCCACAACATTCTGTCACTCGATGACACTGGAATACCCTGTCAGAAAAGTCTAGTGGCTGGGAATGGGCTTTTACAGTGTCTGCTATGATGTTAATGTTGTCTTTTGTGTTTGAATATGATGAATATGGCCACGGTGTAAATGCACAGTACAGTTACGATCTTATTGCCACATTATATCTAAAGATAGCATGATATGATACCCTTTTAGTGATTTCCTGAAGATAAATACAAAAAAAATTAAGCAACTGGAGTAACAACAGCAGTTGCGATCGTCAATCTTATATGTAGTAAGAGATCGCAATGACGCGTGCAGGTGTTGTAGTGCTGTCCCATTTCTTAGGGCTAAATTTTGAAACCCTTTCCTTTCAGTCTGTTTCAAGTTCCAAGGGAAATGGGTACAAAAATAGAATGGGGCGTTGTTGTTCATTAAAACTAAATTACCATTTACACATCAAAATTTCTCTAGAGCTTCCTCAAAGCTTGGGTGTTATTCCACCCAAAATGAAAAATTTTCTTATTAAATACTCACAGTCATGTCGTTCCAATCCCCTGAGACCTTCGTTCATCTTCAAAACAAACATTAAGACATTTTAGAAGAAATCAGGGAGCTCTTTGACCCTCCATAGACAGCAATGGTCTAAGCTCATTTTGTGCACCACAACTTTCTTTGTTACATATCAGGTCAGGAGGTTTGTTTACTACGGGCTATACAATGCTTGCATGCTACGCTGCTGACAAATGTTGTATTGCTCATAGTAAATGCACATCCTGACCTGCCGAGTAAGAAAGTGTCAGGGTTCAGTAAATTCTTGTTTTGATGGCAGAGTCCGGACACTAGCTCTGTCTTGTCCTGTCGTTCTCGGCTCGAGTTTTCTCAGGTCAAGCACTTGTTTTCTGTCATTGTGTGTGTTTCTGCATGGGCGCCATCGTGTGCGCGCACAGATGGTGCGGGCTCCCCCTTGATGCGTGCTTGGGATGCAAGCTCGTGTACTAACGTTTTGTTCTGTCAGCATCGCGCGGTTTCATTCTCAGCGTCACAGTCTGGTTGGTTTTGGTTGGCGCTGAGACAAAACATTCGCATTGTATATGTGTGAGCGCACAGTAAGGTGTTTTAATTTATCGTGTGCTCGTGTCTTGCATCTGTTTATGTTTGTGTTGTCCACGCATGTGGCTCTGTGTTTCTATTGTAGCCGCATACTGCAGTGTTGTGCTTTATTGTGAACACGCGGTTAATGAGTTCTCTCATTGGCTGCATGTTCTTGTCCTGTTTTATATGAGCACATGGGTTGTGGTGTTTGTGTGTCATGTGCTCTACTGTCTATCGTCTAATCCAGGGGTGTCAAACTCAATTCCTGGAGGGCCGAAGCCCTGCACAGTTTAGTTCCAACCCTGCTCCAACACACTTACCTGTAGGTTTCAAACAAGCCTGAAGGACTCAATTAGTTTGATCAGGTGTGTTTAATTAGGGTTGGAACTAAACTGTGCAGAGCTGCAGCCCTTTTGGAACTGAGTTTGACACCTGTGGTCTAATCCCACCCTCCTTGTTAACGCATTATTAGTTTATTATGTTCACCTGTTTGTGTGTTAATTATTTCTGCTTATATTCTCCTCATGTCTGCTGTCCTGTGCCAGTTCCTCGTCTTTTGTAGCCTTGTCCTGTCTTTCCAGCCCTGATCCCTACCAGCCTACCCAGTGAAGTTTGTTAGTGTGTTTTGTTAATGTTTTCCCTCTGGGTAGTTTATTCAGCCTTTTATTTCATTTTATCATATATAAATACATATTTTTTTCTGCAATTGAGTCCTCGCTCCTTTTCACCACCACCGAACATGACAGAAAGGACAGATGAATAAACTATTTTTAATTTTTTTAGCACACAAAACTGTTCTTGGAGCATCTTATGACTACAGTTGAAACACTGGAATGTTTTGACAATGCTATCGTTTCCTTTTTTGGACTTTGCTGGCTATAGAGGATGAGGGAGCTCTTAGATTTCATCTAAAATATCTTAATTTCTGTTTCAAATGTGAAAAGGGTCTCAGGGGATTGAAACCACATGAGGGAGAGGAACTTATAATAGACTTAAAATGTCCTTTTTGGCTGAAATAACACTTTAAAAACACTGCTGATACGAACAGTAATGATGTTGGTTTTATCACAATTCAAACTTTTGGACACGTCGAGAAATAAACAAATACACCAAATTCTTCCAGGCCTCAATTATATGTACATTGTTGCCAGAATTGTTAATGAGCAGTCAATGAGGATCATAAGCCGGCAGTATGCAAATGTTTTACAAATACGTTTGTTTTAATAGTAAAGCTGGAATTACTGAAGATTCATTTCAGGAAGTTCAGAATCACTTCTAGCATAAAAGCACAGTATGTAATTTCCACCACTAGACTGAGTGTATCCACAATAAACAAAGCCCCAGTTTGATGACGCCATGACAGAGTGTGGAATCATGGGAGTTGTGGTCTTCGTTACATCCTATGGGTCTCCTACAGAAATCATGGATGAACTAAAATATTACTTATTATCATGTTAGTATGAAGCAGAGTAAACAAAGTCGAAGCCAAACAAGAGCGATAAAGCAATTCTTTATGAAAGAGGAGCATGACCCGGCATAAAAACAGCAGAGCTTTTATTATGCCACAGTCTACCACTTCTGGTTCTTCAGTTCATGATCATTTGGGTAAGATGTAGCTTTGTTTTATCATACTAAATACATTTTAGTACAAAGTACATAAGTGTATTTTATATGATATTGTCCTAGTGGTTTTAATAAATAAAATCTTTAAAACTGTGCTTTTAAGAAGACTTTTGAACTTTGCAGACATTTTACATTCACAACACATTACACAAAACACCCCCACAAAAGGGGCACTTTAAAAGAGTGTAAAATGCCTATGATCACTAGGGCAGATGATCAGATGAGTTTGGTTCACAACTTCCTCTTTTAAGTGTGTCCTTGCGTCAAAAATACGTCACATTGCACTGGGGCATGATTTAATGTTCTGTTCACAGGAAATCAATGCAAGATATTCTCATGAACACTTGGGCAACACTGAATATGTCATGAATCATTGGATATGAAATAATTGATGTGACAGAAACAGCAGATGTACTACAAGAGGTGATAATGATCAGCTGTAATTAAAAAAAAAAAAAAAAAAACAGATCCTTGAGGGTTCAGGGCTGTTTGTAAGAGAGTAGAAGCCACAGATCAACTTCCTGTTGTTTCTGTTGAGCAACGATTAAATGTTCAACACAGAAAGAGAAAAAGGAGATTTCAGAACGTACACATGGCATATTTTCATAAATAAAAATAAATAATGAAAAACAAATAAAATTTATATAAATAAAGTTAACATGCCATATCCCCTTAAAAAATTCAATTAAATAAATAAATGTTTTCTCACATTGTTCATTTTGATTTTGGGTAAATAAATAAATAAATAAATAAATAAATAAATAAATAAATAAATAAATAAATCAAACGTTAACATGCCATTTTCATTTTGATTTTCGGTAAATAAATCAATAAAATTAACATGCCATTTCCCCCTAAATAAAAATAAATGAAATAAATTATGAAATCATTTTCACACATTGTTCATTTTTATATTGGGTAAAAAGAAAGAAAGAAAGAAAGAAAGAAAGAAAGAAAGAAAATAAACTAAAACTTAACATGCCATTTTGATTTTGGGTAAATAAATAAATAATGAAAATAAATAAATAAAAGTTAACATGCCAATTTTATTGTGATTTTGAGTAAATAAACAAATAAATTAATTAATTAATTAATAAGGTTAACATGTTATTTCCCCCTAAATGAAAATAAATTAAATAAATTATGATTTATTTTCACACATCATTAATTTTGATTTCTGGTTAAAAAAAATAAATAAATAAAGTTACATGCTTTTTAAATTTTGGATAAACAAATAAATAAAGAAAATAAATAAATAAATAAATGAATGTTGACATGCCATTTCCCCTTTAATAAAAATAAAATAAACTGAATTATAATGTATTTTCACACATTGTTCATTTTGGGTAAATAAATAAATATCAACTGCAATATTTTCAATTTAATTAATTTAAAATGATGGATAAACCAACCAACCAACCAACCAAATGACCATGGTATTATTTCCCAGACAGATTTCCATTAATGATGGAGAGTCAGTGAATTGTCAATTATTAAAACTACATACATTATGTTTTGTTTCTTCAAGGGGTAAAAGCACAATTCCTATTAAAAGATTTATACAAACAGAAAGAAAAAAAAGAACTACAATGGAATACTTCCTATTAAATAAATCAAATATTTACATTTTATAATTATAAATTAACACATATTTTTTATTAATAAATATGATTATAATCAATAAATAAACAAACAAACAGGTAAATAAAATAAAAACTGAGCCAATTCCAAATTAATTAATAAAAAAAGGTAATTCAATTTAGACCATTTCCTACTGCATGATTTATTATAAATCAATGATTTTTTTTTTTGCATAATTCTTTAATTTATTTTCAATTCAACCAAATGGAAATTGCATATTACTTTTTGTAATTTGTTCATTTAAATTGATAAATAATAGATAAATAGATTTTACATAAACAGATATACGAATAAGCTCATCATCTCATCCAGGTAATGCGTTCGCACAGCAAATTAATGTGAAAATGCATACTGATAAATATTTCCTTTTTGTGTTTTGGTCACAGGGTTGACAAGTGTCATCATTTCACAACGAGTTCTCAATACTCACTTGCTGCTGAAAGCCACAGCGATTGTCTCAATGGCCTTCTCAAAATCCTTCTTTTCTGGTTCAATGCACGATTCATAGTGATAACCTGAGGTCAAAACATTAAAATTATATTGATGAAGAAAGGACATTGCAGGCAAAAACACTTTATGCACCTGTCAGTTTTCAGTCTAATAAAAAGAAAAAATCCAAAGTACACTTATCTGCGTTTCGTTTATCACACTTGATCAATTTGTGACTGTAGGTTTCATAGACTACATATTTTTGAAGGCTGTTTTTTTAAAAATTATTCTTTTTTCTTCTGCAATGAGCCATAAAATCTACACTTCAGCAGCTTTACATACTCAAAACTAACTTTTATTTTTATGCTCATAAAAATATTAAATGCTTATTCATAATTTACCTGATTATAGATTATATGTATTTTTCCTATTCTAATTCAAATTTTTGTTTCTGGTGATGAATATTTTTGAAAAACGGATATAGAAAAAAAAAAACTCTGTAAAAACCTTTGACTATTACAAATAAAAATAAGTAAATTAAATTAATTAAAAAAAGAATAAAACCAGAATTCATGTTCAGATTTTGTGCATTTTACTTTTTCATATATAAAATAAAAGCAAAAAATGTAATTAAATTAAAAAAACTAGGCAGAAATCATCCCATATTTAGATTTGTGTGTTAGATATGTAAGCAAATTAGCATGTTTAATCAATGCTTCTACTTGTAAAACGCAAAATGTTATCTTAATGTAATCAATGTAAAAAAAAAAAAAAGTTAAAAAATAAAAAAACAAAGGTAATTTTTGATCCTAAATGTGTTGTCAATCATTTGCCAGTGTTAATCAGGAAATGATTCAGGTGTAGTCATATAAGTATCTAGGAGTGCACATTTACACATAGACAGACATGGGCCACCCATGTAAAGGCTTTTTTTCTGCATAAATTGTGGTTTTATGGTGTTGATAAGAACATTTTGTATTTTTGTGTAAGTCCGTATTCATGAGTGTTTTCAGATATGGTTTATCCATATGGTATGGAAGTCTTTCTGTATATTTAAACTCCAAACTTTTCAGTATTGTCAGAATTGCTATGAAACTTATAGGACTAAAAACCTTTACCAACACTCAGGCTCACTTTGAATGAAGCGAAAAAAAGTCTGCTCAATACATCTCATGGACTCTTCCCATGCTATGATCTCTTGCAGAAGATACAGAATCCCTCGATGTAAGCAGAACAGGCTCAAAAACTATTTTATTCCAGTGTCAATAAGACTGTAGAAAACTAATAAGTGATACGTATGTCTATGTATGTGTTTTTGTTTTTTAAATCAGGCAAAAAATGCTCACGAGTGCACAAAAATTTTTCCCCCTTAGGGGACAATAAAGTATAGAAACTACAAACAAACTATTAGTTGTTTTCACTCCCAATTCACTTGCAGGGTCTTGTCTTAAAGGGATAGTTCACCTAAAAATTAAAACTCTCCATTTATTCAGACTTAAGTGGTTAAAAAAAATATTTTACGACTTAAAATAAAGTCTCTAGATAAAAGTAGTTTGAAAACATTAAAAATAGGCTATTCTAATAGTATGTTTACATTTTCGGAAAAAAGCTAACATTGTGACAACCATTGTAGAAACAAAAAAAAAAAAAAACAAAGATAATGGCTGCTTTTTTACCAACATTCTTCAATATATCTTCCTCTGTGTTGATGACAATGTAAATAACAATTTCTATTTTTTTTTGGAGTAAACTTGGCCTTTAAAGGTCCCATAATGTGCTTTGAAATATGCATTTTTGTTCGATGTTTGATGTAATCTCAACCGAAACACGAAGAGAGGGTGTGACAGTGAAGCTCCTCCCCTTTTAAACTAACAGCCAATAGCTTTTGAGCAATTGCCCTGCCAGTGGCTGCATTTTATTTCAGAGACTGCATCCTTACATTACCTGGAAAAACAAAGGACGGATTTTGAGGCTGTGTTTGAAGGAGATTTCGAATTTTTTTTAAATGAGACAGCCTTCGTCGCACCGCGATGATGTAGCACACTTCAAATGCATCCTTCGAAGGATGCAGCCTCTGTAATGAGACACAGCTAGTGGGTGTTTGAGCTCAAGTGCATCAAATGAAAAGCAAACAAGAAGCATCTTGAAGGGGGCGGGGCATGCCAGATACTAGAGAGCATTTGATTGGTTGTGATGTTATGAGAAATTGTAATACAGGTTGACGTGAATAAAACCGTTGATCCATTTAGATGGAAGTGACAAATTACAAGCTTTACATGTTTATATCAGTTTTATATCTTATAAACACAAATTTGGTCACTGTTCCGGAGCACACTAGCTTAAAGATAGCTTAAAAACAAACAATACTAATAATAACAACAACATATTATTAATATAAATTTATTTTAATTTCATGGGACCTTGAAGCATTTAAAATATCTGCAGAGATGCATAATTCTAAACACAGAGTTTGAGAATGTGTTTAATTTCGAGACCCAGAAGTGCCTTGCTCTGACCTTTGACCTGTGAGATGAGTTTTCCAGCAGCGGTGAGCGTCTCCACGGTGTTGAGCAGTGGGTACATGCTGATGACCTGCCGCAGGACCCGCAGCACTTCACCCAGACACTCGTGAGCCAGCGGACGTCGGTTCTCCTGCTTATCTGACACACAAAATACAGAAAAACCAGAGTAAGGGCTGCTCTACAGACGACACTCACTTGTCACTTTAGCGTTTTCTGTCAGCTAAATGACCAACGCCTTCACTTTTCACACTTTGATAACAGAGCAACACTGTAAAAACGTCTGGGTCATGTTTCACCACAAACAAAGGGCAGAATGGACAAGCTGGAAAAAATGTTTGATAAAATAACTGAGTCATTCATTTTTCTTCAGCTTAGGCCCTTTATTCAGTTGAGGTCGCCACAGCGAAATGACCTGCCAACTTATCCAGCATATATACAACTTATGCTCCAACAACTGCAACCCAGTTCTGAGAAACACCCATACTGTTTCACATTCACACACTCTATGGCCAATATAGTTTATTCAATTGACCTATAGTGCATGTCTTTGGACTTTAGAGGAAACCGGAGAACCCGGAGGAAACCCACACGGACACGGGGAGAACATGCAAACTTCACACAGAAATGCGAAAATTCAAGCACAAGACGTGTTTGCCATGACGTGTTTCTTTTTTTAGACCAGCACAACCTTAATTTTCCCATTTTCTGCCATGTTGTTTAAGTAGCAAATCTATTGGTGCCACTTTGTGGACTCATGGGTGTTTCAGTCTAGAAAGGAGGTGTGTTAAGGCACATTCTTAGAGTGTTGCTATTTTGAGGAACTAAAATAGACTGTTCAATAGACCAGCAAAAAGAAGGCCTAAACTCCAGCGCAGAGTTGTGCGCAACGCTTATACATTGCTTAATATACACAGGATCTTTGCGCTGCAGATGGTCTGTTTAAACCAAGGCTACCCAAACTCGGTCCTAGAGGGTCGGTGTTCTTCATATTTTCTGCATATATATTTACAATAATTAAACACACCTGAATTAGCTAATCAAGCTGTTTTTAGGTATACTAGAAAGCTACAAGCAGGTGTGTTTAAGAAAGTTGGAGCTAAACTATGCAGGACACCGGCCCTCTAGGACCGAGTTAGGACACCCCTGGTTTAAATGCTTTCTCGCTAGCGAAGGGTTCAGTTTTTCCATTACAAAGTCCGCCATGTAAATAGCAAATGCGCCGGGGTGTGACGCAACTGACTCTTAAAGGGAATGTGAGATGAGACTCTGATTGGTTTATTCTCAAACACATTAAGAGAATAAGCACAACTCTGTTAGATCATGCGCCACGCAGAGCATATTTTTCCATCCTTAAAGTAGTAAAAGTGGATTTGGACATGCCCTTTAATGCTTCTGTGCCATGCACTTTAGACTTTAAAACAGTGTATTGCCTTTTTCTTGCTGAAAGCTTCCTCAATTTTCTTCCAAATGACTAAAATGAAAAAAATACATACATGAAGAGTAAAAAAGTGAATATTACCATTTTACACAGACTGTAATGTATGATTTAACATCTGAGAAAAATAAACAAATTTATGTTAAAAAATGTTTACAACGGTTTAATTTTAAACAAAATTAGAAATGAAGTGTAAACTAAAAAAATGGTTAAATGTATTTCTGAACAAAAACAATAGATTTAGTGACTTCAGTGAGTCATAAAAAAAAAAAATTATTATATATATACACACACACACACACACACACACACACACACACACACACACACATATATATATATATACACTCATATACACACACACACACACACACACACACACACACAAATTTGTTTACGAAACACAAATAAAGCCTTTAAAAATAATTAAACATGAATCAAAATGAAAACAAAAACAGAAACAAACAAGAAGTAATTAAAAAAATGGGACAAACACACAACTTACAACAAGACAAACAACTGAACAAAAATTATGAGGGATGAAAATATTCCTACATAAAAAGCCATAAAAATAACAAAGATGTAAAATTGAACAATAAAAAAACAAAATAAATAAACAAATAAATCTTAATGTTATTTATATATACCCCATGCATATATACCCCATTTTGAAAACGAATACATTTCTCCATTTCTCAGTGAATATAGGCAAAGTATTTTGTTGCATTTAACTAAAACGGATTTATCAAACAAGATATATTGATTAAAATAATATTTTAGCCACCAAACTTATTTAGAATTTGAAAGATAATACAATTAAATTTAAGCAAAATATTGAAAAAAAATTAACTAAATTTTTACTTTTTTCTCTTGATTTTGTCCTCTTTTTTTATTTGCATTTAATATTTTTCTATAACATAAATTTGGGTGAACTAGTTTTTGGATCGTTATCGCAAGTTATTTTGTTAGATTAGCTCCAGATTTGGCTTCAGTGTTGACTTATCTAATGTATATGCATAAATATAATATTGTATAGCTTTAGCTATTAAAAATATTAATTTAAAAGAAAGATTTGTGAGGGGTGTACTTATATATGCTAAACACTGTATATACACATTATTATTATCATCATTTTTAAAATCACTCACCCTAGTTTAATTCAAGTGTGTAAACTGACCTGGTTGATTCTCTGTAAACCCACTAATTCTTTACTCAGTGTTTGAGAATCTGTCATGAACTGCAGGAAATGAATTAAATCTGCACTGATCCTAAAACAGTAAAGATGATGCAAGACGAGAGTTTGTTTACTGCGCTGCACTGCTTTCACATCTACAACTACCACTTCCTCCTGTAAAACACCTACAAATGCTGTCTGTTCAGCTGTCTGTTCCTAATTACCCTAACCTACCTAGTTAACCTAATTAACCTAGTTAAGCATTTAAATGTCACTTTGAGCTGCAGAGAAGTGTCTTAAAATATCTTGTAAAATATTATGCATTGTCATCGCGGCTAAATCAGCTTACAAAGTAATTATTAAAACTAATATGTTCAGGAAAGTGTTGAAAAAAAATCTTTTCTCTGTTAAACAGAAATTGGGGTAAAAAAACAGGGGGGTTAATAATTCAGGGGGTTAATAATTCTGACTTCAACTGTACATAAATTAATAAAAATAAATGCCTAAATAAAAAAAAAAGAAATAGCAATAAATGAATGAAAAAATAAAGTTAAACATTAAAATAAATAAATACAAATATCGGCAAAATGTATAAGCATTTACTATAAACAGAAAGATTAAATAAAGTTTATTACATTTTAATAATATTTTTAGCTTCCTTAAATGTAGAACAACATTTATTGTGAGAAAAAACCTACATGAATACATTTCAAAATCACATCACATTTTACATGCATATTTTATTCTCTCATTATTTTAAAAATAATTTATTTATGCTTTCAAGTAAATATTTATATTTTAAGCTTATACCACTAATAAATAGCCTATAAACTAAATGTAACAATATAATAAATTCATAAACAAACTTGTATACAAAAAACAGGTAAGTGCAAAAATCTTTACAAATACATTAATATACAAGTCTATAAATGTACTAACAAAAAACTAATAGATTAACACAAAAAAAAACTATTTAAAGTGATAAACATCAGAAAAAAAAACAATTTTCAAGAGTTTAAGAGTCAGTTCATGTTGAATAACCAAGACATGTTTAGATACTTTTAAATAAGACACTATTTTAATTCAGTAGTGCACAAGAGAGGGGATTGGACCTAAAATGCTTTAGTGAAAATATTTCTGTCAGCATATAGGGCTAATACTGTCAGTAGTCTGTTTGTATTGTTTTCAAAACTACAGATCAGACTCCACCTCATATGTAAGAACTAAATGGGAGAAAGGAGGAAGTAGTACAACAAAAGAGGATTGGTTAGAAACATGTAATTCCCAATGGCAAACTACAGGCTTTCACCAATGGAGACTATTTGCCTGGAAAAATATTATTCGTTTCTTTATAACTCCTGCACAAAAGTGCCTCGATAAAGTGAGAACAGGGTGTTGAAGACATTGCGGTATAGAACTGGCTAATCATCATCATCATCATCATCATCTATTTTGGGCATGTCCAATTTTACACCTGTTTTGGAAGGATATGCACAAGACATTGGAAGCCATAATCTCGAAGATCGAGATCCAGTTTCAATTTTCAGTGCTATACTTGGGAAGTTTTGAGTTGCATGAGGCTAGAGACACGCATTTATGGACAATATTTCTGGTTGCTGCCAAGAACGCCATTACCAAGCGGCAACCTCCTGCTCTCCCTCGGTAGGCCAAATACTGCAATTCATCGACTGGCCTTTGGGGGCTGGCTACAGATGTTTTCTGACTGCAATAGTAAACTGGACAATTTTACAGCTGATAAAAACATGTTTACAGCCTGGTACAAAGATGGTTTTAGTTCATATAGCTAATATTACCCTTCATGACAACTGTGAGGGGGTAATTTTTTTATAACTCATGCGTTTATTTTTTTAAAAGTTTGTCTGTCGTTGCTCGCTGTCTCGTCACCTCAGCTGATTAGCTGATGAACTCGGCATAAACATTGTATTCTTGTCTTGTTTTGTTTTATGTGGCTTTACACAGTCATTTGCCTTTTGGAATTATTTCCCACACTTTATTGTGCTCACAAACCATTCAAGTTGCCTTCATTTCTCAGGTGAGTGCAAATGTATGCTTCACTTAAGATAATTGATCATGAATCATTTGCTTTAGACCTGTGAAGCACTCCAGAATCTGACAGATTGATTTGCTGTAGTCTCCAGAACAGTCATCTAAAACTTTGTCATACAGTGTTGTGCCCTGATTTTATAAATAGCCTTGCATTTAATACAATAACTGAAGTATTTGGAAGTAATTTGCGCTTTTTTCTCCTGTAGAAAAACGTCATTAGAACAATGTTTAGTGGCTCAATGTATCACAGCATTGTTTTTTAAAAGTCTAAACACTATATTGATATAGTGTACAACCAAGCACATGTGGTCAGAACACAAACAAGCCACAGGTAATGAAGTAGCGTTTCTCCAAAAGAAAAACCTGTCTAAGCAAAATGCTAACAACGTTTGTAGCTCCAATGACGCTCCGCCTCTTTGCCTTTATTTGCAATGACGCGCAAACAAATATATATTTTAGTTTTTTTTTTTTACCTTTATGATGACAGGACAAAAGAGAATTCAGACAAGAAAGCATTGGGAGCAGAGAGAGGGGAAGGATCGGCAAAGGACCTGCGAGCCGACAATTGAACTCAGGTCGCTGTGAGCACGTTAGCTACTGGCTACTGGTGCAGACTGGCCACGAGTACTTGTTGCTTCATTTGCTCTCGTCAGAAACCTATGGGTGACATCATGGATACTACATCCATATCTTTCACATCCATAAATGGCTTCTGCTAACCCCTCCCACTTTAGAAGATTTTAAAGCAATTGTTGTAGAACATGGAAGATGGAAACGTTTATTTAGTCTCTAAAACAAGAAAACAGAAAGGGGCTATTCTATGGAGCAAGTGGAATGAATTTTTGGACTCTGAGTTTAATCAGTGCTAATGTATGTATGTATGCGTGTATGTATTGTATTGTATGTAACCATGCAAGACCACTCTTAATAATGTTCTTTACCCTGCTGTTTTTGTTCAATATTTATATTTTATTTAATAATTTTTCTCTTCTTCTTAAATGTTATTGTAAACTCTCGGTAAATGCAAGTTGCAGTATTATATTTTGGAAAAAAAATATATAAAAAACTTAAATAATTGTTAAATTGCAATTTATTAAACCAAAAAAATCATACCCAAAATAAAGAAGAAAAAACAATATTTTGGATTTGTAGGTGTTGTCATATTTGAAGGTTCTTGTCATATTTACCATAGATTACGATCCCAATACCATGATACAGCATAGCTAAAACTGTGTCATCGGAAGTCTCTTCATAACAGACCGTTTAATTTACAGCAAGTTATGGGAAATCATTGTATATAATGATTGATTTGCATATTCGAGTTTTTGAGAGCAGGTTTGCCACTGAATGACGTTGTTTTACGGCTGCTGTGAGCGGAAGAGGTGTTTTCTGAGTTTCCTGCTCCAGTGTGGTAAACCACAGGAACTCGACAGCACTGCACACACAGGAAGAACAGGCTCCGCCCCTTTCTCTCTTGCAGAGTCACATGACCCACAGCAGACAATGATGCGAGTGGCTCGATGTGCAATCTGTCATGTGGCCTACTAGACTTCAGTTCTGCTCTGGGCATCAAGGTTGAAAAATATATTCCAGGAAATAGTCTAAATGTTTTCACAATGTTAAGGAAACATTTTTCGAAATAAGGAAGCATTGGCATCAATTTATTTTGATGGTCCCTTTAACACATTTTGTTGAATTAAAGTTACATTGCATCTACATGCTAACTAATACTCATTAAATTATAAGTAGACTGTTTAAGGTTAGGATTAGTGTAAATTGACATGTACTTGCAATGTTTTTTTGTTGTCAGTTAAATGTGTGTTAAAGAAGCAGCAGATATTAAGCAAACAGTCTAATAACGCTTAAATGAGGATTAACTGGCATGTGATTGCAATGAAACTTTTAGTCAACAAAATGTGCAATAGGAACCATTAAAATAAAGTCTTACTGAAACATTTCCTTCATGTTTTTATATTTAAGCCCCAAATAATCCATGTCAAATTGTCTGTAAATGAAACTATGTTAGCTTGCCTGCTGTATCTAGGAAATGTTTAAAATTCTTTGGGAATGATTGGAAAACATTAAGAAAATGTTTTGGAATTCATTAGGGAAACATTTTGGAAAATTTTACAGAAATTCCTTTGAAACAAAACATATTGAGAACCTAAAGAAAACATTTCTGAACAGTTTGAAAAATATTGTAGAAACATTCACTTTTATAAATACATGTTAGGAAACTTGTAAACAAAACACCTGTATAAATAATTTGACATAAAAATAACAATGTTATGAAATGTTCAATGGAATGAAAATGAAACTAAATGTAAAATTCAGGAAAATTTTAAACCATTTTAATCCATCTTTTTGACTGAAGATTTTGGAAACTTTCATTAATGTTAAGAAATTATTTGGAAAATCTGAAAGTACAACGAAAAAAAATGGCAATTATAGATTAAAAATTTGCAGTTCAATTTGATTGTGGCATTTAAAAACTATTTTGGAAATATTTATGAAATGTTCTTTCAAATGTTAAAAACATTTGGGAATGACTGGAAAACTTTAAGGGAACATTTTAGAAAATGTTACAAAAATCCTTTGGAAAAAAACATTAAAAATTTTATGAAAACATTTCTGAACTGTTTGGAAAACGTTATGGAAACATTTACTTTTTATATTTTTTAGAAATGTTCGGAAAACTTGTAAACGAAACATCTGTAAGGATATTGAAAAAAAATTACAAAATATGTCAAAATATGTTTTACATAAAATGTTAAATTTAAAAAAAATATTGAACCATGTCAAGTCTATGTTTTTGACTGAACAGTTTAAAAAAACTTGGAAAAAAATGGAAAATCTGAAAGTGAAACATCTTTTTAAAAGTACAATTATAGATTTCGCAGTTCAATTTGATTGTGGCATTAGAAAACTATTTTGGAAATGATTAAATTTTCTAGAAACTTTTGGGAAATAACAAAAAACATATTTTTCTAAGTATTTTTCAATAAATGTAACATTTTTTGCAGTTCATTGTGACAAATTCACATTTTGAGAACTTAAGGCACAGGTGTCAAACTCAGTTCCAAAACTGAGCACAGTTTAGTTCCAACCCTAATTAAACACACCTGATCAAACTAATTGAGTCCTTCAGGCTTGTTTGAAACCTACAGGTAAGTGTGTTGGAGCAGGGTTGGAACTATACTGTGCAGGGCTTCGGCCCTCCAGGAATTGAGTTTGACACCCCTGACTTAAGGAAAACATCAAGAAAATATTTGGAGCCATTTTCGAGATGTTAAGGAAACTAATCAGAAACATTTGAAAAAAACATGAAAGGAAAAATGTAGAATTGTTATGTAGCTTTTCAAAAACATCAAGGAAAAATGTAGGACATGTTAGAAACATTTTAAAAATGTTGAGGAAACTATTGAAAATATTTTAAAATCATTTAGAGGACAAATTAGGATTTGTTGCCATCATTTCACAAATAAAAACTAATTTGATAACTTCCTGAAAACCATGAGGAACAATTTTGGTAACATTTTTTTCAATGTAAAGTAAACATTTCAAAACCATTTTCCTCCATCACCCCCAAATAATCCCCATCAAAACAGATTCTTTCCAGTAAAACCATCATTTTACCTTCAAGCACGACATCCTTTAGTTTCTCCACCGCTTTGGCAAAGCGTTCCACACTGCGCAGCAGGGACGGGATGTCCTCCACCTCGATGGCCACTGTGGTGTCAGCTGTCTCTGGTGAAGGGCTCTGGGCAATGACGGATTTTCCTGCACCCTTACTGAACACCCAAGATTGGATGGGGAAGCCGGCAGCGCTGGGATTGCGACTCAGAGAAGTGGGCCGCTTCAGGGTGCCCATCGGAGATGGGCAGCCCAGCGCCTTTGAGTGCTGGGTCAAAGGCGTACCTGGACAGGACGACGAGACCTCTACGATAGGGGGAGACAGACTGGAGGACGTTTGGGATGAAGAGGTGACACTGTCCACTGCATCTTTCCTAGGCTGTTCTTGAAGAGCGGACAGCTGGATTAAAAACACAAAAAGGACAGTGTGAGAAATCCAGCCTAATCTCACGAGAATACTATTTTACGTTTTGTCAGTTTAGTGGTTAATTCATAAGTTTACATACGAAAATGTAAGATTTTTAAAAAAGAAGCATGGCACCAATCCCCACACCTAAACCCAATCATCATTGGGAGATGAGCGATTTGTACTAAAATTAATAGATGAGATCGCACAAATTTATACAAATTAGCCACTAAATCTTAAAGTTACGAATGCCGTGAGATAGCATTGGAGAAAACATGGCACACAAACGTTTAAAGTCTGCATGAACCGGAAGTTGCTGAAACTAATTATTTTAGTATGTTGATATACTTCCAACTGAAACAAGATATTGAGTAGGGGACGGGTGATGAATGCAATAAGCACATCAATATAGCAGCATTTTTTACGACACGGTATAACAATAACTAATATTTTTACATTACTGTGACGTTTGGGTTTAGGTTTAGGGTAAAGGTAGACATTAAAAAATACAATTTATTGGGGAATTTAACAGATACACGGTAATACACAGTACAACTACTGCTTTTACGTTACTGTGAGGGTTGGGTTTAGGGTTGAGGTAGACGTTAAAAAAAATACAATTTATTGGGGAATTTAATAGACAATATAATACTCTGTACAACTTTATGTTACTGTGTAGGTTGGGTTTAAGCTTGGGGTAAGAGTAGACAATAATAAAATACAATGAATGAGAAATTTAATAAATAAATTATTTTCGTTACCTTCCAGCCGCAACCATTTCAGATCTAGCAAAGTACACCTGTCTTTTTGCACATCATTTCCTCATAGCAAACTAACGGTAAAAGAGGCGTAGTTAAAAATGTTGTGGGTGAAGCCGACAAACCAACAGAGAAGGACCGACACTCCAAAGATTAAAACTATTTTTTTGTTCAGAGGATTAACCCAACACGTGCTAACTGTTAACCGTAAGAATAACGTGTGCTAGCAAATTAAATGAAAATTTCATTTAGAGTTTAAGTAAGACTTTGAGACTGAAGCGCAAGATCTGTGGTTGACTACAATAGACGGCTGTTAGTAAACAGAACTTCTTTCACAAGAGCGATTGTGTAACTGTGGCCTACTTCCTGTCACACCCCGAAAAACTGATGCCACACTGAACTGGTCTTGCTGAGGCCTAAAAACACGAACACCAACACATGGACAAGTCACTGAAAATATAATTAGTTATAAATAATGATTGTGAACGTTATGATAACGTTAAGGAAACATTAAAGGATAATCTGTTTACATGTTGAAAATGTTGGAGTATTTAAAGAAAAATTTGGACTTTTGGAAGCATAAACTATAACTTACAAACTAAAAGGTGTCAAACGATCCTCTTACAGTGATATATTAAAAAAATATAAACATGCTTAAAAAAAATAAAAAAAGAGAATGACAAACGTTTAGCCATAAGCCAACAAGTCTAACAATTTCACATTAATTCATCACACTAACGTTTGACTTGTCAAACACACAATTACATCAAATTAAAAATTACACACAAACGTGCTGCTTAAGCAGTACCACACACACACACACACACACACACACACACACACACACACACACACACACACACACACACACACACACTAAATACCTTAAAAACTACACAACCCACCTGTTTGAGCCAGACGTTGGGTTTATTTGGTAAAATGTCCAATTTCTTTTTGCTGCTTGACTTTTTCACTCTCTGACTCGTCGCGTAAGGACTGTAACTTTTGTTGCTCGACACACGTTTCAACATTTCCAATTACTGTACGTTGAAAATCTATCATATATCATATTTTAATCATAAAAAGTAATGTATGCAAGTAAAGTGACAAACTCAAATGTTCAAAGTAAGGCAAAACCTGAACTCCTTGCTGCGCCACATCACCCTGAAGAAGTTTTCTTTAGTCCTTTTCTCTTTTAAGTAACACAACAGTCAAAATGACATTAATAAAGTCCCCATTTCGGTTTGAAGGCTCTAATATTAGGACCACGTCGAAGACCAGGCGAAACCCCGAGCGCGAGAGTGAAATGTCAATCAAGTTGATTGGCAGGAGGAAAAGGCGAGAGATGCTCAAGACTTACTGATGGAGAGCTGAGAGGCGCTGGGTTGCTGCTTCCTGTTCGGCTCTTCTTAGACATCGAGTGCGTCTTTATTAGTTCCCTCGTCTTTTTGGAGAACATCTTAAGCTTCAGGTGTTAGTACCGGACTCGTAATTCGTTATATTTACTCTGCAAGCCCCCTGCCCACCCCCCGGCTCCCCATGTCAAAGCGCTGATGCGAGGTTTGCGCAGTGCGAGCTGGAGCTTCAGTCTCACTCGAACAAAACGATCATCGCACATTGAGCGAGTCTACTGACACACATCAGGCGCATCCGCTTTTCTGTTTTTTCTCTCTCGCTGTGCTTTTGACAAGTGAAACTGCGCTGCCGTGAAGAAACATGTGGGCTGGATAGCTTCATACATTCTCGCTGAAACTTAAAGCAACGTACATGAGGGGATTCACATCATTTTCTTGCGCGTAAAAACAAGATTCGCTGTCTGCCACACAGTGCACACGCTGTTAATGCTAGACACCTGCTCTTTAATTAAAAATGAAAACACCGCCCACTTTCGAGGAAAAAGAAACATCTTCACTTCTTTTTGTTTTTAGACTGACATAGGAGTTTTAGCAAGTGTGCTAAAAACTAAAAGCTAAAGACTAAAAGAAAATTAAAAGACTCCCATCTTAACTTGCCGTAAAGTGTCTCAGTCACAAACCAGGAAATGTATAAAACATTTGGGAATGATTGGAAAAAAAATTAAGAGGATATTTTGAAATATTAATAACATTTTTACAGAAATTCTTTAAAAAACATATATTTTGGAGAAATTAAAACATTTCGGAACTGTTTGGAAAATGTTAGGGCCCATTTGTCTTCAGAAACTTAGGGAAAGACCTAAAAAAAGCATGTAGACTAGTGGATTTTGGCCATTTATTTACAAAACTAAGGGTTTTGGGGGCTTGAAAACTCAATATTTTGAAAAAAGGTTTATTTTATTATTATTTTTAAAAGGAAAAATCCACTTTAATTGGAAATAGCCTAATTTTACAAGTCATCTATAAGTTAAACTGTTGAGGTTTACCTTTTTTTTTTTAACCCATTCAGCCGATCTCTGGGTCTGACAGGATAATCTTTAGCTTAGCATAAATCATTAAAGGGTCACGAAACACCAAAGCACATTTTCGAGGTGTTGACATATATGTGTACCACGCTGCGGAAAACACTATTAGGACACATGTTTCACAAAAAAGTGAAAATTGGTTGTTTTTGCGTTGGTTTGAGCAAATTAGTTCTTCCGGTTTGAAAAGAAATTTTGAAGCTACCTCACGGCCATGAGTCCTAGTGTAAATTCCAGCATTGAGACTAGATGTCTGTACCAGCCAGTTCAATGTGACGACTCTTTCAGCTTTAATTCATGAGAAAGACTTGGTTCAAACAAATCAGCGTGCTCTATTGTGAATGAGGTGCAACTTTATTAATATGCATGATAGCTTCAAAAACGGCTTTTACCTGTCACAGTGTTCAGACCACAGAGAGAAGTCTTATTGTGTTGCCCAACTGTATTTAAAAACAAATGGAAGAAGGAGAATTGTTTGGAGACATGGGCTGTCAGTGATGTATTTATATATGTGCTGCAATGAAGGTTTTGTGTCCATTTCCCCGCTATGAGAACGCAGCTGGACTCAGGTGTGGATTACAGTGGTCTGCTAACACGCGACAGAAATGTTTGTAAGGAACATTTTTTACCTGGGAGCTTTTTGCATCTGGAAATGGTGAAATCGGAATTTGCTGCTCGTCTCCTTTTAAAAAAGTCTCCAGTTTGTGTGAATTGTCCTTTCTCTACAAATTTGGTAAGTGTGTGATCAATGTGCTTTGTGTAATCAGATGGCAAAGTTAGTATTGTCAGTGTCGATTGCTGAGACAGGGGAGTTTCATGGCCCTTTAAATCAGATTATACTGTTAGCCTCCACTAGACCACAATCGCAAGTCAACATGTCAGAATTTTGAGATAAAAAGTCAGAAAAAAACTTTACATGTGAAATTACAACTATTCTAATGCTGTGGAGAAAAATATTTTTTAATTTTCAACTATGAAGGCTACATATCCTTGCAACATTTCAGTGTTTAATTAAGAAAACTAGATTGGCAATTACTGTATTTATTCTGAATAATGCAATTAAAATTAAAAAAACTTATTTTGTTATATTTTTTCATATGAGAAAATGTGGTGTGTTTTCTGTAACATAGGGAGCTTTGACAGTCCTTGGTTTTTGAGATGCATTGTGGCCAGTGGTGTAAAGGAACAAATTAGAAATACTCAAACTTCTGTAATTCAGCAGTTTTTTTTCTCACAAATTGTTATTTACCAAGTAGTTTTAAAAACGTGTACTTTTACTTTTCCTTGAGTACTACTTTCCTTCAACCTGCCGTCACTACTTTATTTTTTCTTGTCTATGAAAATGAGAAAAATCAGTCCAGTGATTCCTGTCCAATCAAGTCACACATAGAAGGTAAATGGCATCATAATAAACTACCTCAAGACATGGGCGATTTATAATTGCAGTAAACTGTTTGGAAGCATTCAAGTCCAAAATCTTTAGACACAATGACCCAGAGACTGTTTAGATGCATGTCACTGATGAGAAGATGACGGATGTTTACTGTATGATGACCGAAATGGCCTTAAACACCCAGCAGGCATAAGATGTCAACATGATGTTAGATTGACGTTGTACCGTAACATTGAGGGGACGTTGCTTTTTGTTTGAAAATGAAAATCGGGTTGACAAAACCCAACTTCAGGCCAACATTATTGTCAAACCAAAAATCAAATATCAACGTCTAATGATGTTACATCTTGACATTGTGTGGACGTTACCACTATGATATCTATCAGTTGTTGGATTTTGGTTGCCATACCAGAGGACTCCATGTCAGTGTTTAAAATCAATATGACATTGGATTTGTCCCTTTCCAACACAACCTATAACCAACCAAATAGCAACATCATTTCACATCGTTATTGGACATCAAAATAACATTGTCCTTAGACGCTGGCTAGACATATAATTTTGGTCACCTGAATCTACCCTAATATTAACGTCTTATGACATTGTGTGTCTGCTGGGCAAGAACTAAATGCACTATAAAATGTTACGTTTACACACATCCACAAATTACATGTTAACTTATCAGCTTTTAGCAGCGTGATACTCACTACTCTGGAGTACTTTTGAAAGGTCTACTTTTCACTTTACTTTGAGTAAAATTTTACAAAAGATTACTTACACTTAATTTTTTGGAAAGTAATGGTACTTTAACTTAAGTATTCTTTTCACCACTGATTGTGCCATTTGTAGGAGCAAAGTCATGGTAAATTAGTTTTGTTTTTTCTTACCAACAGATCTTTTAGAATATATACATACTTTGGATTAATTTCTCGTAAGACTGCAGTTTTGCAGTCTTTAAATTATTGCAAAACTGTATATGGATTGTTGATGTGACTTTGATGTGGCTTTTTTTTTGTCACACCTGATAAAAAATTATAAAATTATATACAGTTGAAGTCAGAATTATTATCCCCCCTTTGATTTTTTAATTTTTTAAAGTATTTCCTAAATGATGTTTAGCAGAACAAGGAAATGTTCACTGTATGTCTGATAATATTTTTTTCTTCTGGAAAAAGTCTTATTTGTTTCATTTCAACTAGAACAAATACAGTTTTTATTTTTCTAAAAAACATTTTAAGAACATAATTATTAGCCCCTTTAAGCTAGTTTTGTTTTTAAAAGTTTGCAGAACAAACCATCGTTATACAATAATTGCCTAATTACTCTAACCTGCCTAGTTAACCTAGTTAAGCCTTTAAAAATGTCACTTTAAGTGGTTTAAAAATATCTAGTCAAATATTATTTACTATCATCATGACAAAGATAAAATAAATCAGTTATTAGAGATAAGTTATTAAAACTATTTTGTTTAAAAATGTGTTGAAAACATCTTCTCTTCGTTAAACAAAAATTGGGGAAAAAAAATAAACGAGGGCTAATAATTCTGACTTTACTGTATAATTAATATTGTCATAATTTAAAATGCAGTAAATGGTTAAACATGTCTTTGTCTTCGATTTCCAGTTATAAAAACTGCTGCGTTAATACATTTTTGAGCCAAATCTCCAGCATAGATCAATAAATTACAACTCTCATATATTAAATTAACATAAAATAGTTAAATCGTTAATAAATACTTCAGGTCTAATTTTACAAGTGGCTATTTAAGTAAATCCCACTATCTTTTTTAATCCATATATTTCTAAAAACACAAGAGCTTGATACATTTGGTCACTGAAAACCATGTCCTCTGGTGTGACACTGTATATGCACGTTTTAAATTAAGTGGCGATTCCACTAAAAACTATAAGTAGTTGAAGGACGCTTCAGGATACACATTTAATATCATGTGATCTAACCTTTGATATGCACTGGTTGGGTTTTTGTCTGAGAATTTTTCACACATACTTTTTTTTTCTTTGAAAATGTCCAGCAAATCATAGAGAATAAATATTCCTAATTTCATATAAAATAAATAGCACTATTTGAAGATGTGTGCAACAATCATGAATATTCACTCTCATGCTATTTGTATATTATTAACAATTGTTCTTTTGCCATGTCATACCATAGGACAGGGGTGTCCAAAATCAGTCCTGAAGGGCCGGTGTCCTGCAGAGTTTAGCTCCAACTTCCTTTAACACACCTGCCTGGAAGCTTCTAGTATATCTAGAAAGAGCTTGATTAGCTGGTTCAGGTGCGCTTAATTCGGGTTGGAACTAATATATGAGGGAAACCGGCCCTCCAGGACCGAGTTTGGACACCACTGACATAAGACATGTTTATGGTATACAGTTCAGTAAAAAAAGTGAAAGAATAGATATAGTTTTTCAAATATCAGATTTCAAGCTACATATTTACAACACATATTTACAGCATTATTTAATGATTATTTGTTAGCTATCCATATTTAAATAACCCAACCATAGGTTTGTTGCTTGGGAATGTTTAAGGAACCCACATATAAAAAATACAATGTTGAAATGTCATTTGACAGCATATTTAGTGTCGTTTAAATTGAATAAATTGTTGAAAATATTTAGTCAAAATAAAATCCAAAGCACTTCCCAACATTAATCAGAGCGAGAGCTTAATTTTTCTGTTCCATTTATTTCAATATACAAATAAAAATTATATTTAGTTAGTTGCTGAAGAGGGTAAAACGTACCCAAATCATACTTTTTTTAAAAAAACAACAGGAAATATTTCTTTTTGAAATAATCCTGAGTTTGACCTCAGAACATCTATTAAAACAATGTGACCCACAAAAAGCAAGCGATTCAGGTCACAAATCGATTCCAAATTACGAAAGTCAATACAAAAACGTTTGGTTGTGTGAATGTACTGTACAAGTCCAGATTAAAGGTCCATGTCCCCGTTTTGGGTCTTAATGTAGTGTAATCCATGTATATTACAGCTCTGTAGCAGGTCCCC